GAATGGGGGCTCCAGACACTGCCCAAGCCACTGCACTGCAACGGGTTGGAATGGGGGCTCCAGACACTGCCCAAGCCACTGCACTGCAACAGGTTGGAATGGGGGCTCCATTTCACTCTCTCTCCCTGTCTTCCTCTCCTTCTGTCTCTCAGACAAGCTGTTTGGAAAGCGGCTCCTACAGGCGGGACGCTACATCATGTCTCACAAGTCTTGGATGAAGACAGTGCCCACAGAAAACTGTGACGTCCTCATGACTTTTTCAGGTGTGTCAAACAGGAGGTGCCTCTGTGACTCTGACAGATTCTGACTTCTTACTGCCTTCTGTTGCTCCGTCTCTTCATCCACTCCTACCATCCCGTTCCAGGCCGAATCCTCTGTAGTGCTGATTTGTGTCACACTCCTTTCATTGATCTGTCTTGCCATCATTGGCCTCTGGCCTGTGTCAGCTGCCACCAGCTATGATGCTTTTGATATTTGTTCATTTATGCTTGAAATATCACTATAGTTTCACCTAAATGCTACTTGAATCATTGTCCTATTTATTGTGTGTATTTCATATTTTCAAACAAATTTATGATTATTTTAGTGCAAGTTCTGTAATTTTTGGTATATAAACATCCTTTCAGACAGAAGCCTTTTCTGTTGTGGTAAAGCTTGATTTTTAAAAATATTGTCACAGCCAGAAACATTGTTTTCATGCAGTATTAACTAAATGCTACTTTTGTATGTTCATCCCTTAGATTCCATAGATGACCATACGTTACTATGGTTACTGAATCACATCCGGTTGGGTATTCCAGAGCTCATCATCCAGATCCGGCATCACAAACAAACGCGAGTCTACGCTTTTTTTGTGACTGCAACCTACGAAAAGTGAGTCACATTGTTTGGACCTGCGATGGTGCAAGAGATGCTACAGTTAGAGGCTAGATGTAAATGCCCAACAGGCAGCGATTTAAATGCAACGTGAGAATTGCTTTTTTGTTTTTTTACTGCTTTATTAATATGAAGTCATTTTAATACTGACCTGCATAGATAGGCACATATGATAGATGGGTAAGATAAATAAAATGCTTTGGCGAGTGTCTGTTATTCATATGGGCAACATAGTAAGAGAGCATGCAGGAAACCACGGACAAAAAGCCGCACTTAATTATAGACTGTTGGGTTGGGGTTAGGGTGTAGAAACGTGTCTTATTTCGGCCTTGCTGTACAAGTTGTAGTAAAGTTTCTGTTAACCTATGAGGTCTGGTCTTAGGCACTCCAGGTGTGTGCTAGGAGAATCGCACTATAAACAGGGAAGTGACTCGTCAAAATATTTATATCTATGATTAAGATGTGGCATTTAAAACTCCTATAATATCAAAGATTGACTTGCATTATGATAAATTACAATCCTCATAAAAGGCCAAACCTCATTCAGAATATAAAACCATATACAACAATGTGATTAATGTCACTTAAATTGTTTGGTGTGTCGTAGGGTGAACAGAATATGCAAGTATAGCTATTTAAGCACAGGTTTTAAAAATCCAGGTTTTAAAAGAATCGGCTGATAATTTTCTGAACACTAATTAAGAATGATTATGTAAATGAACAGGCACAATTTGCTAATCTGGATTTCACCACTGCTGCTTGAGCCGTTCATTAAGGTTAGTTCAGTTGCACCTGCGACAGGCAGAAATCAGCTGACTTAGCACAATACTCCACAATCAGCAGGCTGGACTATGAAGTGTCGTACAACAGGAGGTCCTTCTCTGTGTGCTGAGGTGAAATGTGACACATTAGATCCCTCTGAGGCAGCACAAGGAAGTAAAAACGAAACAAGGTCATTTTCTGATTGGCTAGTCGAAAAGCGCAGCTACAACATAAGCTATAGATATTTTATTTGTTACGCCTGAAAATTTTTACCCAATTTGAATCAATATGCAAGAATAATTTCCAATTACAACTGAAAAATGTGAAATGCAATGTCCAGTTGCTGAAAGGGGCCGAAATTGTGTTATAGAAGGATGCTACTGCAACTTTATTTTGTCATTAGAGTTCAAACAGGGATATAACTTTTTACCCAAAGAGATTTGTTTTAATCAGCAATGCCTCTTTGAATATGAGGAAACGTATCATAATACAGTTTGTAAGCAGAAATGCCTGCAGTGCAAAGCTATTACACATGCTAAACAGCGGCCATGACCTCAGATAAATTGCACTCAACTTTTTTAATTCAATAATCGCAATAATCCCTCCCCCATACAAAGCAATTCACGCAAGAAACTGTCGAAAATGCATTTTCCATTCAGGCTAATATAAAAAAAATAAATAAATAACAGAGGCTTCACTTTTTCATTATGTCTCATATTAATTGTTTGTGCACCATTGAACGTATAGCCATGTTTTTTATTGGCCAAGGCTTTTGTTAAGTACAGCCCTGGCACCCCATTGGGTGGTTATGTGTATAGCAGTGACTTCATTGGCTGGCACAGCCCATGTGTTTTAGCTGGCCCTGGGTGCCGAGAGCTTGCTGAATCTGTGACCTTTACTGAAGCATGCTTCTGCTTACCAAAGTCCTGCACTCCCCCCCCCCCTGCTGATCATCTCCCCCTGGTGGGCTTCTGTTCAAGGTGAAATAGTAGGTTAATCCAAAGAAAGCAAAAGGCTTTTGGTATGAACCCTTGTCTCTACACAGCCTTTCTCATGCTCCGGATGGGGCCTTGCTCATTGAAAGAGGAGAGAGAGAGAGAGAGAGAGAGAGAGAGTGAGAGAACAAAACGCTGTCCATCGAAAATGAATTACTGACCGTGGCACAAACAGTCATTGAACAGTCACTGGGAAATGGGAAAGAGCAATTAGCAAACCAGAGGCAATGCAGCAGAAGTGAAATAAAATGAAAAAGGTTTTTGTTTACTTTAGCACCTAGCTGGAAAGTCGTGAGTGTGGGGTGACCTGGAAGATGAATGGAGGCTGCTGATTGGGCAGTATTTGTTTTGTTTTCTTGTTTTTTTTGTGGTAGTGTACATGCTTTCAGTTTCAGTGCATCCTCACTGCATGTCTTTGCTGGGAGTGTTTGACTTTGCCTGCAACCAGAAGGTCCCTGCTTCAGATCCCATGGTCAGCAGTGTCACCTCACTGCTGGGCTGAGGTATAAAGCCCAGTCGCTCCAGGGAACGGCTGACCCTGCATTCTCAACTGCATTTGATATGAGCATCTGCTAAGTAAATGTAAATGAGTAACAACTACAGAGAAGCTATTATTTGTAGTGCATTTTAACCATGTGTGCTGAAGTAGGTTGTGCAGCTGCACTCTCAGGCTTATATCAATGTGTCCGTTGGGCATGATTGTTGCTTTATAGTGAAATTAATTTGCTGAAAAGAGAGAAAGACAAGACTGGACAAATGGCTCAGTGCACAAGCACTGCATTGCAGCTGCAGAAGGTAATTCTGTATAGTTGTGTCATTCTAGTTGATTTTTTTTAATTTATGGGGGTTAGAAATGGTCAGGCAAAAACATTCAGCTTCAAAAATTTGTCCATGTTCACAACAAGACACTGAAGCTATTAACCTATGCAGTGTTACAGTCTGATACGGAACTATTATGATGCAGAATCTGGAGCTGAATTTTTTGGGTCATTCTGGCCAATTTACATGTTTATTGTGTTCTGGTTTGTTTATTGTGTTCTGGTTTGTTTATTGTGTTCTGGTTTGTTTATTGTGTTTTGGTTTGTTTATTGTGTTATGGTTTGTGTGTGGAAAATGTACAGAGATATTGCTGGCACTTTCTGCATTTTCTAAGGGTTTCAGAGTCAAGCCACTTAGGCATGTGTAAATAGAAAATATTTGGCTGTGTTGGTTCCAGCATGGTGGCTGACATGATTGTCTCACACCTTTGGAACCAGGGTTCGAGTCTCCCCCCTGGCGCTACATGTGTGGTGTTTGTATGTTCTCCCTGTGTCGTCATTTGGTTCAGTTACCTTCAGGTACTCCAGTGTCCCCCCACAGTCCCAAAACTGAGGTGAATCGGAGTTTCCAAATTGTTTGTAGGAGTGAATGGTGTGTGTGAGTGTGCCCTGTGATACGTTGACACCCCGTCCTGGGTTATTCCCTGCCCTGCGATGGGTTGGTACCCCGTCCTGGGTTATTTCCTGCCCTGCGATGGGTTGGTACCCCGTCCTGGGTTATTCCCTGCCCTGCGATGGTTTGGTACCCCATCCTGGGTTATTCCCTGCCTTGTACCTTTTTTTAACTGCAGAAGGTTAAAAATGTGCAGAAATGTGTACTGCAGTGTACTGTAATGTGATTTGAACATATCGGGAGGATGTTCTTAAAAGCTCACTGAGCATGATGAATCACTGCTATAACAGGGAAGGATCCCTTCACATTTAGATAGCAAGACACATTTAGATGGCAGGTTCCTGCTGACTGAACTGTTTTCTGGGTCTTTTAAATGTTGACACATTCTGTAATGTACTTCTCCCCATAACTATTCGGCCATGTAGCTGGAGAAATAATATTTGAAACACACACAAATGCATACATACGCGTTACCAGATTGTGCTGTGTGCAGCATCAATATTGCAGGAAAGTATATGAAATATTATGGAATATTCTGGCAAATGCACATGTAGGAGAATCATCCACTACAGGGACGGAGGTTTTTTTTCTGTTCCGTAATAGATAGATTGAGCTGGTGTCAGACAGATGGAAATGTCCCTCACACAGAATGCGTTAAAGAACACTTTAAGTGGGACTGCATTAATCACCAGACTGGCCAGGGGAGGCTCATTATAATTTATAATACAGCATGTGACGTGTGAAGTACTTTTCCAAATGACATGCATGGAACAGTGGTCTGTTTCACGAAACAGTTTTTCTTGCTTAGCCAGATTAATTGTCAGATTTAAGGTAGTCTGGGCTAAATGTAAGTGAACAAAGATAAAGACTATTTAGCCCAGACTTCCTTAAATCCAACAACTTATCCAGCTGAGCAAGTGACCTGGCTTTGTGTAACAGGTCCCATTTGTCATTCCCATGAATGAGCGAGAGCGAGGAGGTTGGATGTTTTTGACCTAAATGGTGCTCTTCCTGACCGTAAAGCCTAATGCCAGACACCGTGTCTCATAATCCCTGTCTTCCAGCCTTTCCCCATGTGTGCCATCATATTAATGGTCTATGTGAGGTGTGATAACGCGCCAAATCCTGATTGCTGTGTAGCCTTGCTGACGTGAGAGCTGGCAAACTGACCTGTAGTGGGGTGCTGTGGATGTGCTGGATGACCGTGGGCTGGCCGGCTGTGCCTGCAACTCAAAGGTCGCTGGTTTGAATCCCAGGGTCGGCAGAGTAATTTCACCTTTGGGTCCTTGATCAAGGCCCTTAACCCCCAGCTGCCACTAGGAGTGTCTGACACTGGCCTCACAAAGATGTGCCGAGCTTTGGATAAAAGCAGCTGCTACAAAAATATGAATGCTGTTCATTAGTGTTTAGCAGCACTGTGTTTTGTTGCATGTCTGCTTTTTTTCTCATCACTTTGATCTCTTCTTTTTGGGACTTTTATGTGAATATTTCTGTAATTTTAATGCTGGTTTATGTTACTGCTGCCGTACCTAACTGAGCTGGCGTCTGAGTCACTCATGAGTCAGACAGCTGGGATGCCTGAGGCTGGGTAATGGGTGTCCCTGATGGAAAGTGCTCTGTGCTCTGAAGCCGGGCTGTCTGAGGCAAGGCGGCACCCGGGCGGAGAAGCGGTGCTGTTTGAGGCGAGCCGGCACCTGGGCGGAGAAGCAGGGCCGTTTGAGGCGAGGCGGCACCCGGGTGGAGAAGCGGGGCTATTTGAGGTGGGCCGGAACCCTGGCGGAGAAGTGGGGCCGTTTGAGGCGAGCGGCACCCGGGCGGACAAGCGGGGCCGTCGGAGGCCAGCCGGAACCCGGGCGGAGAAGTGGGACCGTTTGAGGCAAGGCGGCACCCGGGCGGAGAAGCGGGGCTGTTTGAGGCGAGGGGTTACCTGGGTGGAGAAGCGGGGCTGTTTGAGGTGAGGCGGAACCTGGGCAGAGAAGCCCTGTTGTCCGAGGCGAGGCAGCACCTGGGCGGAGAAGCTGGGCCGTCTGAGGCGAGGCGGAACCCGGGCAGAGAAGCTGGGTCGTCTGAGGCGAGGCAGCACCCGGGCAGAGAAGCTGGGTCGTCTGAGGCAAGGCGGAACCCGGGCGGAGAAGCCCTGCTGTCCGAGGCGAGGCAGCACCTGGGCGGAGAAGCTGGGCCGTCTGAGGCGAGGCGGAACCCAGGCAGAGAAGCTGGGTCGTCTGAGGCGAGGCGGAACCCGGGCAGAGAAGCTGGGTCGTCTGAGGCGAGGCAGCACCCGGGCAGAGAAGGCCGGCTGTCCGAGGCGAGAAGCCTGGACACGCTGCAGTATGTTAGCGGGGGGGACTGAGAAAGAGTTCGTATTTCGGTGGGCTTGCAGGTCAGATTTACCAGACATGTGCCTCTGAGGTTTGTTTCCTGCTGTGCACTCGCACTGGGCGGGTTAGGGAGAGATTCTCGCACTGGGCGAGTTAGGGAGAGATACTCGCACTGGGCGGGTTAGGGAGAGATACTCGCACTGAGCGGGTTAGGGAGAGATCTCCCCTTTCGTGTCCTCCTAGGAGTGCCAGCAGGGAGTGGACATTTTCCAGTAATAAGATATTTTGCACAGCTGCCATCAGGGATGATGATTATGGGTGGGGGGAGTCATCCCCCATTGCTGGGAAGGTACAGCTGGTCCCCAAACCAGCCATTTAAAACAAATGCTGGTGTCTTAAACGTGGTACACAATGATATCTTATATACCCCAGTCAATAAGATAAGTGCTTTTTGCCTTAATTACTCTCAGTGTAATGAAAGAATTTATGCAGTTATAAATGAAGCGCTGTGGCTCATTGGGCAGCGTTATTGGCTCCCACTGCCCTGCTGGGGGGTGCAAATCGCCCTCTGCTCTCTCTCTGTATGTTTTCCCTAGTGCTGGACTGGTTTCCTCTATGTAATCTGGTTTCCGTGTGAAGACACACCCTTAGGCTCATTGATGCTTCTAAATTGCCCCTAGAGAATGTGTATATGCAGTGAAGCAGACCATCCAGTGTGCAGCCTGGGATAAGTTCCAGGAACTTCCACGACCCAGAACAGATGGATGGATGGACAGACATAATATATTAAACAATTATAAAACTGTTCCAGTTTTATGGTAAAACAAGACTCTGGATGTTCATGATAAGGGATCCTTAGAAATCTGGGCTGTTTCTCATGTAATTACAAAAAATGAAAAAGAAATTAGATGTTTTTCTTTCTGAAAAATTAAGAAACAGCGTAGCCTGAATTTGTACGCAACTTATACTGATGGACATATTTGGTTCTTGTTGGCATGGTCATGGGGTCTTGTGTTTCCTCCTCGTGTTGCACGGATCTCCTCTGGGGGATTCTGGGAATCTTCCTGAGGTCCAAAGTTATGTGGAGGAGCTGCCTGGCGTCTCTGAACTACCCGCAGGTTGTGTGTGAGTGTGTGCCCCGTGACGGACCGGCATCCCGTCCGGGGTGTCCCCGGCCCTGTGCCCCGTGACGGACCGGCATCCCGTCCGGGGTGTCCCCGGCCCTGTGCCCCGTGACGGACCGGCATCCCGTCCGGGGAGTCCCCGGCCCTGTGCCCCGTGACGGACCAGCATCCCGGGGCACAGGTGTCCCCGGCCCTGTGCCCCGTGACGGACCGGCATCCCGTCCAGCGTGTTCCTTAACTGGTGCCTTTTTCAGATACACAAAAATAACCTGCATAAGTGCTTTGAAGGCAAATGAGTGGATATGTTTTTAGTAATCATTCAGTTGAGATTAGTTATCTTTTATATTCGGATAATCCATAATGTGCCCAGGAACGTGGATGACCAATGTCAACAACATTCCCATGAATACAATCAATAACTCTCTGTGTAATTAATTATTATTGCTGAAAAGCCAAAATGACAGAGAGTATTACAGACACATCAGTCAAAGCAGGCTGATGGAAACGGGAGGGAAAAGGTTAGAATTCAGTCATTCCGTAGCTGAATTGTAACCTACATCTGTATTCTATAAATGTGTTTGACTAGCTTACTTTGTCATTTGACATTACTTTTAATTAGTTTTAATAAATCATATGGCACAGGGAGATTCCGCTCGCTAATGTTTCCCCAGTTCTGGCAACCTAAAGAACACTTACCATCTAAACATTCTGGCTAGCTGTGTTTGTCAATAGCGACACATAGATGAATGTCTTTTTAAATGTAGTATTATTATTATTATTATTATTATTATTATTATTATTATTATTAATACAAGTACTAATAATAATAACAATAAAAATTGGGTGCCAGAGTTTTTTCAGAAAAAATGTTGAAACTGACAAATACCTCAGCGGAATGACAAGCCGCTGTTCTCTGTCCTGTGGCCTGTACTACGAAGCGGGGTTACTGGCTTATCGGGGTAACTTGTCGGATTTAAGGTAGTCAGGGCAAAATGTAAGTGAACAAATATGAAGTCCATTTAAACTGTGGTACCTTAAATCCGACAAGTTACCCCGATAAGCCAGTAACCCCGCTTCGTAGTACAGGCCCCAGGTTGCCGAACATAGATGCATATTGGGACCCACTGTGGACGGCAGCAGTGAGCGTGGCGACCTGAGGCTGCTCCTGTCTGCTCCCTTCACCTGCCAATGCTCCTCCTTGCAGCTTGCTGCGTGGCGCGGAGGAAATGGGTTTGCACAAAGCAGTGAAGCCCGAGTTTGGCAGCGGCACTCGCACCTTCTCCTGCGAGGAAGACTACATCTACGAGAACATCGAGAGTGAGCTGTGCTTCTTCACATCACAGGTCAGCTTTCCGGAACATAATCCACTGCATTTCACCCAAAATGTCACGCAGCCAATAGGCGGCAACAAACCCTAACCGTGACCCTAACTTCCTGCATTAGAACAGCATTACAACAGCTAGAACGTATTATCTAAATTATTTTAAACGTGGCATGATTAATTGGGTTGAGACATGGAGGGTTCATAGTCGTAGAAGCAGCCGTCCTCTTGGGAGTTTCCGGCACCACACTGTCTGCAGTTTACCGGCAACGGTGCAATAAACAATAGAAAGCAGGAGTCAGCAAGAGATCTGTGGCTGAAGACACCTCATTAAGGAGGGAGGTCAGGGCAGAATGTCAGACTCGTTACAGGTAACAGGAAGGCCACAGGTCCAGAAAGAACAGGTCAGCACAACAGGGCTGTGCAGAACGGGAGCTGAAAATACACAGAGTCTCCAGCCGTGTGACGCTCCAGTCCTCCCTCCTGCTGTGCAGCGGTACATAATGAATTGGCCACTCAGAGTGTTTCCAGTTATCAATGTCATATATAGAAATATTTCTCCAAAAAGTCTTTTCCTGTAATATTGAAACAAAAAAAAACTTCACAACTATGATAGCATAGCCCACCAGCAAGACATCGACATTAAGGCCTCATTAAGGCCATTGTTGAGGGATTAATAGGAAGTAGGCTTGTGATTATGGAGGAATGTGACTGACTTTTTCCTCAATCCCTGCTAATGCAGGCACATGTGTTGACTCCTCGATTCCAGGTTTCCCGGTTAAAATGTTCTGTCGGTGTTATAATGATCTGCGGCACATTCAGTGCCAGGCAGCCGTAATGAAGTCTGATGAGATGGATCATGCATGTAAGAATGGTGCCAAATTCCAAAGGAACAGTTGTAGGGCTTTGTTCAGTCTGTGCTACGTCACATTTGTGCCATTCCGGCTGCACACTCTTCGATGTCCGGATCTCAGTGCAAAGCCGGGATATCGCTGTAACATTTCTGTCCATGTTGGTCACCTTGCCTTCCTGTAGGAGCGTCAAAGCATCATTAAATACTGGCTGGACAACTTGAGAGCGAAACAGGGAGAGGTTCTTCATAACATCCATTTTCTTGAAGGACAGCCAATCAGTAAGCCCTTCCCTTCCGACACAATGTGTGTGTGGGTCATTCCGAATATGCAGTATATTTTTCCTGCCCCTGTCGAATGTGTCATAATACACTGGTAAAAGGTTGGTTACATTTTTAAAGAAAAAAAATTGAATGATGTTATCAGGGTAGAATGGAGAGCTCAGGGTAGCCATTCCTCCACGAGGAGTCACAAATCATGAAAAGTGTAAAAAGTTCATTTTGATATCAGATTTTTCAAGAATCTCTTGAAATGTTGGTATTATATAATGAAGTTGTATAATTCCCCCTAACAGGGTGGAATATGGTGGAGTGAGACAGACTAATCCATGAAACAGTACAAAGTTGATGAAACTCATAACTAATGCTTACTGATCTCTGTGCTGTTGTTTTCCCACAGTGTATGATGTCACTTCCTGGGGGATAATTTCATAAACAGACTAGCACTACTGTTACATTGCAGGGACATTCCAGCAAACTACAGCATGCAGAGTGACACTGAGGTTACAGGAACCTCTAAATCTATTAACTCCTAAATGCTTAAATCCTACTAACGTAACAATCTTAAGATGGAAATATTTTATTTGAAACATCTAAACAGTAAATGAAAAAAACATCTTGAAAATGTTGTAATCAATTGTGAATATTGTGCTGTAGGAGTTAGTGCCTAGAACATATCGGCAAAGCAGGCAAGATCTACTCCAACCAGTGTAGTGAAATTACTTAAAAGTGAAGTCCGTTTATTTGGAAATTTAGGATAAAAGAAAACTGAAATCATTTCCATCACCATATCATAAATTTACAAATTTAACATTTTACCAGTATAGTATGTACACCAGTAAGATTCATTCAGTGGGGATAGGGTTAGGCTTCTGAAAAGGCACGGCATAGTAGGAGAGATCACTGCATGTGAAATGTTGTGAGGCTGCTCACTGGCACGTGTGCATCTCTGAGGCGTAAACCTACAAGTAAAATCATGTGTTATCAAGTAATAGCAAGTGCTACTACTGATTTCAACGACAACCTCACAGAAGACTCTTTGACCTGTGGCTGTATGTGTGTGTGTGCGTGTGTGTCTGTGTGTGCGTGTGTGTGCATCTTCCAGTCCCGGAGCTGAGTGCCAGAGGAGTGGTCCAACAGGTCTTCCCTCTCCACGAACAAAGGATCCTCAGTCAGCTGATGAAGTCCTGGGTTCAGGCTGTCTGTGAGAAACAGCCCTTGGGTCAGTTATCCTCAGGGCTGTCAACGGTCTTATGAGTCACATGCAGATTCTGCTTATTTCCCGCATCATAAAAGTCGCTCCTACCAGCACAAACTGCTGTGTTTGACTCCACACCAGATATGCGTGTATCACCTCCTGCCGTTCAGCAAAATGAACAGCCGTTTATGGAGCTAATCACTGTTGTCTGTACTGAACATGTATCCATAACAAAGGAAAACACGATATAGACCCAAAGGAATGTAATTGGTGAAAAGGTTTAAAGTTTTTACTGCTTAGTACTGTGTGGTGTATTGTTTTGCATAGAATGATGTATCACTAATGAGTATTTTATTAGCATGTTGAATAGCGTCTTCCTCTCTGCCTCTACCAGATGATATCTGTGATTACTTCGGTGTCAAGATCGCCATGTATTTCGCCTGGCTGGGATTCTACACCACCTCCATGCTGTATCCTGCAGTGATTGGCTTTGTCTTATGGATGCTCACCGAGTCGGACCAGGTGGGGGCGGGGGGGGCTGCTGTGATGCATCTTCTGTTTTACTGTTACATTTTGGGAGCTGGCGGTGAAACAGGCCACGCTGTGCGTTTTCCAGACGAGCCGGGACATCTGCTGCGTGGTGTTCGCTCTTTTCAACGTGGTGTGGGCCACCCTCTTCCTGGAGAGGTGGAAGCGGCGTGGGGCGGAGCTAGCATACAAGTGGGGGACGCTGGACACGCCTTCTGAGTCGATAGAGGAGCCCCGGCCTCAGTTTAGGGTGAGTGCGCCCAGCTGAACATATGCCCCCTAGAGGACTAAAATGGAACCGAAAGTGTACGTCAGGATAGAGGTCGAAAGTCAGCATAAGTGGTTGAGTGAGTGGCTGTTAAATGACTGAAGAGTGTGAATGTTTTAAGAATTTCCGCAAATGAAAGTGAAACGTCATGGAAATAGTTCTTGTACATATTCAGACAAATAGTTAATCTTTAGTATTTCTGCCTTGAATGGGGTGCAGAGCCCTTTAGGAAGCGTCTACACTGTGGAGCTGTGTGTTTCTCTCAGGGTGTGAAGCGGTGCAGTCCAGTGACGGGCTGTGAAGAGACGTACTACCCGCCCTGGAAGCGGAGGGCCTTCCGCTGCCTCGTCAGCCTGCCCGTCTGCATCCTCTGCCTTTGCTTCGTCTTCCTGGCTATGCTCATCTGCTTCGAGCTGCAGGTCTGCTGACAGCCCCTCATCTAGCACTGTCTCCACCCCCCCACACGCACTGGGGCATATAAAGCGCCCCATTTACCGCAGAAATCACAGCTGGGAATGACATCACACCCAAGTTAGCTGTGCTTCAGGACAGCAAGTCGGAAAGCCACTTATCGATACCAGGAACTGATCTTGAAAGGCAGGATTTCTTGCTGAGCTGGATAACTTTGAAGGTGGAAGATACCCCAGTTTAAATGGCCTTTATCTTAGTTCACCAACATTTAGCCCAGACTACCATAAGTCCCACAAGCAATAAATCCTGCTTTCTGAAACAGGAAATGTCTTTGGTAAAGTGATACAGTAATGGTATTACACTATTAATACTATAAAAATGTACAACAGTACAGTATGCAAAGTGCAAATCATGATACATGTGTTTTGGTTCTGTCTCTATCCATATGTGAAGCTTCAGAGTCCATTAGGTGTTCTGGTAAAAACAATATTATCTTGTAGTAATTTGTGCTTTCAAGTTAGTCATTCGTGCTCTTGAGTTACTAATTGAGTTACTCTTGAACTGGTAATTAATTCAAGGAAACAAATTACTAACTGGGGAGCACGAATTACTAACTCAACCACACGAAGTAGTAATTGAAGAGCATGAATTACTAAGAGAATATTTTTTTCTACCATGACACTTAAGGGGCCCCATATGAAGCTATCGTCTGTAAGCAAGGATGATAATAAAAGGAAACCTTAAGATATAAGATTTATGTGGTGTCTGTGTGCAGCTTAAGTAGGCCTTACTGTTGCTTCTTGGTTTATAGGAGTTTGTCATGGGGATCAAGGAATTGCCCCGTGTGGCCAGGTTTGTGCCCAAGATCATGCTGGCCATCACTGTGACGGCGTGTGACGAGGTGTACAGGAAGATCGCCTGCTGGCTGAATGACATGGGTGAGTGATGTGAAATGACGTCAGAGTCCTGGAAGATCGCCTGCTGGCTGAATGACATGGGTGAGTGATGTGAAATCACGTCAGACGTCAGGCCTTGGCTTCTGTACTGCTGGGCAGGCTCAGTATTTGCTGCGATACTATTGGGCTCTTTGGGACGGTTGTCTATTTCATACATTGAAGCAGTGAACAAAAATGAATCTATGCTTCATTTACGTTACAATTAACTTGTGCTTTTGTCCAAAAGAATTTACAGAAAAGGTTAATCTTTTTTAACCCACTACCTTTGTATTGTTAGTACAATGCTCTACTCGTTGATCTGCAGCTTTCACAGTGCGCGCCACATACCGTGGTGCTTAATGGTTTGGCCCGTAGCCCCCTGTATTCAGCTCCCCCCTCTGGATCTGGCGTGTGGTGTGTTCCTCTTCTCATCATTTCGGCCATTGTCCAAAAACAACTGCTCTATGTAAAGTGTGTGCATGCCCTATGAAGGACAGTCCCCCGGCCCCCCGGCCCCCCGGCCAGTGCCTCCTGGACAGGGCTCAGGTTCACCAGCGGAGAAGTGGTTATTGAGGATGGATGGATGGATGGATGAATGGATGGATGGAAGATATATTATATTTTGACTCTTGTATGTTTTTTTTCCCCAGAAAACTACAGACTCCAGAGTGCCTATGAGAAACATCTCATCATTAAAATGGTTCTTGTAAGTTGCAAAATGATTAAATATGTTATGACTAGAAATGCATCATGATATACATCATGCAGGTACATAATTCATGTTGCTCCAAACTCCAGAGTGAGAATGTCTAACATTGTGATTGTTCTCATGCAGTTTCAGTTTGTAAATTCTTATCTCAGCCTTTTCTACATTGGATTCTACCTCAAAGACATGGAGCGTCTGAAAGAGGTGAGCGGGCCTGTGGTTCGTCCTGCTGGGCCGGGAGGTCGGGGGGTCGGGGGGTCGGGAGCCTCTGAGCGCCACGGCACTCGCTACCCTAAACCCCTCTGACCTCCGCTGTTTCGCTGCTTCATTTGCCTTCACTTGTCTTCATTTTCTCCCCCTCCTCTCTGTCCATCCATCCGCCTCTCTGGCACCCAAAGCTGCTGCTGGTCCCTCAAATGGTCCAGGCCACTTAGAGATCCAAAGTACACCCATTAGGCCGAGCCTGACCGGGCCCCTACGCGCACCCATGCATAATGTCATCAGTCATAAAATTCCTGCTCTCCGCATGTCTGTCCATCAGCTCTCTTCCGTTTGATATTGCTCATGTTCCCTGGCTTCTATAATGAAAGCAGTTACAAACATTCAGAGACGGAGGGTAGGGGTAGGTATATTAGGGGTAGGGGTAGGTATATTAGGGGTAGGGATAGGTATACGTTATGTGTACGTTTTTGCTTTCCTATAGTGCATTCCAGAAGTCTGACTTACCTTCTTGAATATGTAGTGGTCTTGTGCCATCATCTGAAGTAATTTTCCATAGATTCTCTTACGGATGCCTTCAGTTCATTAATAGTGAACAGGGCTTTTTACATTGTGGCTTCAAAACGTTCTGTTCTTTGAAAATAATTTCCAACGACTGTGCACTCTGATATACAGCATGTCAGCTGTGATATGTCAGCTCTGTGCCTCCGAGAGGTGATCCATCCCTTGATTTCTCCTGAATGGATAATAGGTTGTGAGTGTTTGCTGCAATCCTTGTTATGGAAGTAAGTTTCTTTAGATTGATTTCTAGGTTTATATCCCAGATTATATTTTCATGTTTAAATAATTGTCCTGCTTTCAGCTGCTTGTACAAATGCCAACCTTCACCAGAAGTTGCACTGGCTAAAACAAGGGTTTTTTCAAGGAGCAAGAAATGTTCGTTCTTTAATGACTGAGCAAGCTCCTGTATTTGGATCTAAAACGCTGTCATCATATTGAGCTGAGAAGCTGTTGCAGGTGTAAAGAAGCCTTGAGTGATTTATTGTGTGATTTCCCTTCCAGATGCTCGCTACCCTGCTCATCATCCGTCAGTTCCTGCAGAACGCAAAGGAAGTCCTTCAGCCTTATCTATATGAGCGTCACAAGTTAGGCGAGCTGACATTTAGGACTGTGTGGAACCTCCTGCTGTCTGCGCTGCTGAAATACGGACGCCTGGCTGCAGGAAAAGCACAAGTCTCTCCCAGCGAGGAGGCCATGCCGGGCCCGGGCCTGAGGGGCACAAGGCCTGGGATCGGACGGACAGAGCGGAGAGAGAAGAAGTGTCTTAACGGGGGTTGTGGGGTACCAGAGGAAGAGGAGGAGGAGGAGAGCTTAAGGCACAATGAGGAGGAGAATGAGGAGGAGAGCCTGATTGACTGTGGACTAAAACTGCGAAAGGTCAGCTTCATCGAGAAGGTAGAGCGCAAGCCTGGCTCTATAGTCGCGCCGCTGGAGGACGCCTTCCTGGAGGAAGGAAGCCCCACCATGGTGGAGAAAGGCATGGATCCAGCCTCCATCTTTGAGATGTGTGACGATGACGATGACAACGGAATCCCCGAGGTGAAAGACATTTCCGGAGAGGCCTTAACTGGCCCGCTTGCTGTGGGTCCAGAGTGCCCCGTCTCCGTCCGGCACCGGCGGAGGGGCCGCAGTCTTGAGCGGGAGGACAGCAAGACCAAGAGGGACTCCTGGATCGACCCCCCCGAAGAGAACGAACCCACGACACTCACTCAGGCTGAAATAGAAAGCTGCATGCAGTCGTATGAGGTGACTGTCTTTCTGCTGTTTTCTCTGAACCCTGTTAGGCGCTCACATCTCGTTGTGTCTTTGTTATCAGACACATTTATTTATTTCTACTCAGTAGACAATGTAGTTATGGTAATGATATAAGAGCTTTTGATTCTGTTGTTAAATGTGTTGCATTACAGTGCTGCAGTTTAATGTGCGAAGCCGCGCTTTGGTGCACGGAGCCGCGGTTTAATGCACGGAGCCGCGCTTTGGTGCACGGAGCCGCGGTTTAATGCACGGAGCCGCGCTTTGGTGCACGGAGCCGCGGTTTAATGCACGGATCCGCGCTTTGGTGCGAGGAGCCGCGGTTTAATCCACCGTCGTTTCTGTCGTGTTTCCCTCATTTAGGACACCTTCCAGGACTACCAAGAAATGTTCATCCAGTTTGGTTACGTGGTGCTCTTTTCCTCCGCCTTCCCGTTAGCGGCCATGTGTGCCCTCATCAACAACATCATCGAGATCCGCAGTGATGCCTTCAAGCTGTGCACCAGCCTGCAGAGGCCGTTCGGCCAGAGAGTGGAGGCTATCGGCCAGTGGCAGGTTAGTGTGAATTCATACTGCAGCCTAGATATTCAAGCATGTGCCATATTCTTAGCTACATGCTTCAGTAAATGAATTTCCTTCACTTCTACCCACCGTCCAAATACACAGTTGGGAGAACTGGGCTCTTTGAGTTGCACATAATGTGGGTGCGTTTGTGACGGACTGGCATCCAGGCCTGCAACGCTGTACTGGAGGTGTTTAGAAGGATGTACATAGCAGGGACTGATAGCTTTTTTTTTTTTTTTTACTGATTTCGGTTTTTGCTGTGCCTGTTGTGCTTCTTGTAAACACATTGATGTTTTGCTTTTCTTTCCAGACGGTTATGGAGGTTATGGGCTTGATTGCCATCATTGTTAACTGCTACCTGATAGGCCAGTGTGGCCAGCTGCAGCGCCTCTTCCCCTGGCTCAGTCCCGAGATGGCCATCATATCCGTCGTCATCTTGGAGGTACCGAGCATTTAGTCGCAGGTTCCACTCATCCTGCATTGTTGGCCAGACTTTCTCATCATGATTGTTCAAATTCCTGGACAATGGTAGAATTATTCCAGCGCATATTCTAAGATGTGTCTTTCAAGTATGGTGTGGAAATGGGCACTTTGTGCTCGTAAGCGGGAAAGTTACCAGTTTGAAGTAATTTCTCCGTTGGGCGCCTGAGTTGAGTCATTAACCCCAATGGCTCCAGGAACAGGCTGACCCTCTGCATCACTTTGGATGAAAGCATCTTATAAATAAATGAACAAGCTTCACTCTCTTGTCATTTGTACTTAAAATTATTAATATTACAACATGTACATGAATGGTCCCTTAAATATGCAAGCTTCATTACAAAAATCGAAATACTGGCATGTGTGTCCTGTTTAGAAATTTCTCTCAGACTCACATAAGCATTGCTGCCTGTCCTCAGCACTTTGCCATTCTCCTGAAGTATGTCATCCACGTGGCCATCCCCGATATTCCCAGCTGGGTGGCAGATGAGATGGCCAAACTCGAGTACCAGCGCAGGGAAGCCTTCAAGGTAATCGTGACTTTTGTCTGTAGGACAAAATTTTTTTTTCCTGGTTGACTGTAATCAAAAACCTCTTAGATTATTGATAAGGCACAATGAAATCTATGAAATATAGGGAATCCTGAAGCGAAAGAATACAGTGTGTGTTTTGGAGAGTTGTTTGTAATGTAGATAGTATTATAGTTCCTAGTTTTAGTGCAGTACATTTAACACGTCAGACAACATCGAAGAGAGTTCAAATATTGAATGTTTAATCAGCTGTGTCTGGTCTCCTTGTGGAAAGATCATAATTTACCTTTGCTTATCGTCCTCCAGCTTATGCCTATGAGATCCACGATAACACAGCTGGGTCTGTTATTATTGTGAAGAAGGCTGATGTTGAGAGGGGTCCCGGCCGGCCTCTAAGGCTCTGTCTCTGTTTGATATCTGTGAGGCGGAGGGTGTGACTCTGCTGACTCTGCCGTGTGACCTTCAGATCGTCCAGCTAGATGTTGAGAGGGGTCCCGGCCGGCCTCTGAGGCTCTGTCTCTGTTTGATATCTGTGAGGCGGAGGGTGTGACTCTGCTGACTCTGCCGTGTGACCTTCAGATCGTCCAGCTAGATGTTGAGAGGGGTCCCGGCCGGCCTCTGAGGCTCTGTCTCTGTTTGATATCTGTGAGGCGGAGGGTGTGACTCTGCTGACTCTGCCGTGCGACCTTCAGATCGTCCAGCTAGATGCTGAGTTTGCATTCTGTCCACAGAAACATGAACGGCAGGCCCAACAGCACTACCAGCAGCAGCAGCGGAGAAAGCGCGAGGAGGAGGAGCGGCAGAGGCAGGCCGAGTATCAGGCCCGCAGGGAGCGGGAACGTGAGGAGGGCAAGGCCGACTCTGCCGGCGGGGGCGACCATCACCATGACAAGAGCCATGGGGGCAAGCTGCGTTCCAGCGGGGGCGGCGGGGGCGCGGGCGACAAGCCCAAGAGGCCGAGCTCACTGCTGGCCAACAATAACGTCATGAAGCTCAAGCAGATCATCCCACTGCAGAGCAAGTTCTCTTCTGGAACGGCCCGGTCACCACAGTCCCCTACCGGCAGTGAACCCAAACTCCCAGGGTTCCTCAGTTTCAAGTTCCTGAAGTCGCCCGAGAACAAGAAGGAAGCGGCGGCCGCGGCGGCAGCGGCGGCCTCGGCGGCTTCCTCTGGCGCCGCGGCGAATCTGGAGAAGTCGCAGTCCCCCAGTAAGTCCTTCAACCCTGGGAAACTGTTCAACTTTGGTAAGTCTGAAGGGGGCAGCTGTGTAAACGGGACTCAGCAGGCCAAGCCTGGAGATGCCGCCCAGCCCCAGGACAAGCAGCCTACCAGGTCAGACCTGAACGGAGTGCCTGAGGAAATACCCTCCCCCGGCAGCGAAGGGGGCGAGAATGGACACGCAGCAGACCCCGAGCCTCCGGGGCCCAAGATCTGACCCTCAAAAGCAAACAATCAAATTAAAGGCTATGACCAAGGAAGAATGCCAAGTCTCGTTCCTGTGCACCATGACGTCTGGAAGATGGCTTCACTTTCTAACAGACTCATGGGTCCGTTTGTGCTTGAACACAGATTGGATATCAGAGAGGATGAAAAGAGACTCGTTTCCTGTTCCGCCACACGCCAGTCCCCGTTCTGCAATACATACAGGAATGCATGACCTGCGTTTCTTATCCTTTTTTAGCCTTTTTGTTTTCAAAAAGAGAACTGCACTGTCTCTTATTTATTCTGTAGTCTAAAAATTGTAAGCACCTATCAGTGGATTGCCACTGAGATTCACAACCTGATTGGACAGAAATCTGGTTTGAGCTACAGATCTGGCATCTCCCAAACCATACAGAGAACTTCCTGAACCTGCTCAGATGGACATCAGAAATTTCTACCATGATGATGAATCAGCATAAATACTAACTGTGACCACTCCAAGGCCTCGATACTTTTTTTATTCCGCCAAGCTGTTAAATTTGCTCATAGGTTGTTATTCAGTGGTTCAGTTCTTTTTTTTTTTAAGTTTTGCAAACAGATTCATACCTCATCCACTTTTCTTTTAGTTATTTTTGACAAATTTTATAACTGAACTACCCACATTGTTTTATATGTCTCCTCATATCCAACAGCAATATTAAAAGTATGGTTTGTTTTCTCGGATATCCGGATATTGTGCTGTACAGGGTACCATTCTCTCCAGCCGTAATTCTTTACTGACTGGACTGTATATAGAGAAGATAGTTTGGGTTAAACTACAAATATTTACTTAATTAGAAATGGTTATTGATACAGTTGTCATGGAAATTGGCAGTTATTCGGACATAGCCTTGGAATTGTCTTGTATCGTGGCTAGCAGGCTAGCCTACGGAATCAGCCAGTAATAACTAGCTGTGGTATAACTGATGTCAAATTCGTCATTTCGTACAAAGCTGGACTGAAGCCTAATTATGACACTATTTGACCACAAATTTCAGTTTCCTGTTGGTTCCGAAATTTCATTTGACTTCAACAAGCATGAGAAGCTTGTTTTGCATGTGAGAAGGATTTTTCTGGACATGTCGGTCTGATTGATGTGATACATCCCAATAGCACATCGATATTCAATTCAGACAAGAGAATTACTGTGACAAACCGGAGAGACGCTAAGACCCTGAGGTGTCGCGCTAAGGACATCGGGCCCTTGATGTGCTCATGTTTCTCTGGATAGCCTGGTCATTAATGAACTAATCTTAGTGCCACAATTACTGATTGTCTCTGTAATAGTTCACCACTAACCAAATAGAGTCCCAATGACTGTCAGTCACGACCCCTCAGAATATGCCTTTATTTCTGTGTTCATATTCCCCTCTTGGATGGTCACTTAAAGCAAACATCCAGCCTGCCTCATAGAGAGCAAGTGTTAGACATGCAGATTAGGAAGGTCTCTATACTGTACATACCTGGGTCATTTCTCTTATTATCATTTCTCAGTTGTATTCTTTTTTTAATCTGTGACTTATGAAGAAGGCCAGAGAGCAGAGACATTTCATTTTCATGCACAGCTGAAAATAGACAAACAGAACAATAAAAAAGAAACATTTGCACTAGACCCTGAGGCCCTGCGTCTTTGTGTGCAGGGTGACGGGGAAACACCAGCCTGCCTCATGACATATGCAAAAGCGGGACATTTCTGTTTTTTTGCTACATGAATTCTCTAAATTTGTGACTTTTATCCATCCATTGGATTTTCAGTTAAGGCATCTTAATGCAGTTAGTATTTGTAAGTTATACATAGATGTCTGGTTTTTATATTTATTTATTTGTCTATTTATTTATTTATTTATTTATTTATAGTGTTGTGTTTTTGTTTTCAGACAATGATTTGCCAAAGCAGCACCAAAACAGGGCTTTTAAAGTACAGAGCCATACTTGTGTGTTATTTCCATGAAACTGACCAAGAGAAGGAGCCCCGAAATATAAAAATTCTGTAAGGTATCACATCACCCTACAGGAGACCTGCACAGGATGTTCTGACAGCCCTTAAAGGAATCCCTTCTGTAGTTTTGTCCTAGCGTAGTTTGATTTGGGCCTCAAAATGATGTGCACAATATTTCAGATACACAGAATGTCACTTCGTTGTCTCTACGATCATGTGGGGACACAAAATAAAAGGGTTACCTATGCACTTCCTCATCTCTTTATGACCACAGTCTTTTGAAAAAAATTAATCACGAGCAATAAACTGCTGCATTAATAATTGGTGGAATGGCAGACCTCCAGGTTAGATGTTCTGTTGTGCCTGTTGGATATGGTCTAACCAAGGTGTGTTTCCAGTTCCAGTCTTGGTCATACGGACCCTCTGAGTCTCAATCATAATCTGAATAGCTTTCTGCAGCTCTTCCAATACAGGCTGAATAACACATCTGTAAAGTTTTAAATAGAAGATCTAATTTTAGGTCCCTAGACACAATGTATTCTTAATGAATGATTGCTGCATTTGTTGGAATTTTGAAATTGCTAGCAACCTGATGATACTACGCAGAAGTCTTATCTTCTAGTATTTTTAAAAGAATTTTGGCCACTACTGAATGTGTTATAATACAGGCATTCAAATTAACCCGACAGGGAAAACTGAAATACCTACGATACTGAAAGTATTAAATAATATTCAGCTTTGTGTCAATAATTGGTGAATTCTGTGAATTTTACATCTAGCTGTATGAAGATGTGCCAATGCAATAATCAGTGAATGTGCAGTGTTAATTGGAACAAAAAAATCCACCAGTTATTTGTTATTGTCCGGCAACAACTATCGCGACAAGGATTCTATTGCATCGGATTTTCAGTTTAGCGACAACTGGCTATTTATTTGTGCACTCTGACATTCTGCATTACCCAAGTCTCAGAAGAACTAGCATCACTAGTTAGCTTAATTTGGTTAGCATATCATTATGAATTCTTAGGGTCAGAAAGATGGAAATCATTTGTGATGTAGTCAAATGTTTGTTAAGTTGTCCATAAACAAGGAAATTGTTGATTGAGGTATGGGGTCTGTTTCAGGTGAGTGTGAGCCTTAACACATAAACATTGTAGGATTTGCTTGGTTTACGTTTAACTTGCATAAATCTTATTCATAAGATTAGCTTGACTGGGGGATAGATGACAGATTTACTGAAAATAAGAGACTGTCGAGGCATCGGGCATGTAGTGGGAAAATCAGCGTTGAGACGAACTTCCTGTTCAATTTAAAAATGTCTTCATGAAACACCACTTGAATGGACATCATGTACTCTTCCAATGTACAACTTGTTTTGTTTGTTTTTAATGAAAAATATACTGAAAATGGGATTAATTTATTTCTTTTATTTTGTCATATTTTTGTAAGACCTGCAAATAGATAATAAAACTATTGGAAAAAAAGAGCATGTTTCATTGCCCAATAAGACACACTTTACCATCTTAAGATATCTGCAAAGGTACTTCAGGGAGAGAGAGCAGGAGCGCAGTGTATTATTAACTGACTGTGTCTGATGGGATATTGGTTCATTTTCATTTTGGTGGAGAAAATACAATATAAGTAAAAAACCTTCCAATGAAAAGCTACCTCACCAAATGCCACACAGCTAATAATGAAGTGATACCTGGGTAGATTGGTGGAATAATTAAGAAATGTCAAGTAGAAAGCATAAATACTGAAAATACTTCTTTATTGAACAAAATATTTTAACACAAAGTATAATTCTATACCTCTGAATAATGTTTCTCAACCTAGTCCTCAGGGACCGCCACACACGTGGACTGTCTGGGGTTCCCCAAGAATCAGGCTGAGAGAGACTGCCTTAGAACATTCTACAGTCAAAGAACTGAAAGCGGGGGCTGTTTGGGGTTCCCCAAGAATCAGGCTGAGAGAGACTGCCTTAGAACATTCTACAGTCAAAGAACTGAAAGCGGGGGCTGTTTGGCAGATTACGTCACTGTTAAACAAATGAAAGATTTAATAATGGCTTACAAAACACCTCAGCAGATGCATGTCTTCTACCATTTTTATATACAAACACACCCTTCCAAAAGTTTACAACTGTGCAAGTTTTATACACAAGAACCAGTTTTAGATTTTATTCAAAGCGATTACTGAAATATTTAAACCCAAAGTAGTACAAAATAATTATTTATAAAAAGACCAGAAAGAAAAAAAAAGTTATTACAAACAAACACATACATACAAAGCATGCATTATGGTTTACAGAAAATGCAACTGAGCTATCCAAGGCTTAGGGTTGGGTTGGGAAGAGACACAAGGACCCAATCCCAGAATTCAGAACTCCCATGTCTAGGAGAAACCAACCTGCAATATTAAGTAATACTGAGTAAATAGTTTGTGTTACTGTGCAAATGTGTTTCTCTACACTGTAACACATCATGCATTCAATTAGGTAATAGCATTTGTGCCTTATGTTTCATGGGGTAGGTTCCAGTCACCCTGCAACCTTGCACTGAATCAGGCGGATGGATGGATGGATGGAAAGTAGTAAGTAACTGAGGCAAGATTTGATCTGTCCTCAAGTACCAAGGCCCTCGTTGCCACTCATCCAGAAAAAAAAAATCTGACAGAGCAAAATTACACATTTTAAAACAGCCACACTATGCATTATAAACTCTGAACAATCCAAGGAAATAAAACACTGCTCTCAGAATAACTTTGCTGCATTAAAGGCAAAAGGTCATTATGCAACTGCATATTATGCACTGTATCCAATATCTACTCTCCTGGGGGACTCGCCTTTCCCAGCACCGACAAGAACCATGTCACTTGTAATCTCGCCATCTTGGTTGTGCATTTGAAACAGGAACAATACATCATGGACCCTAACCCTAACCCTACTTAAATATGAACAGAAAGCATAATGTTAAAATGGCATTTTCCTGAAGTTTCTAGAATTAAACAACCTGCATGCGGTTTCATTAAAACTCAGCCATACATTTAGTGTATAATCCAACTTCTGTCGTATAACATTCTAAGAAGCAAAAGCAGCACTATGTTCATTCAGCAACATATCACGTCCCATGTAGGATCTGACGTTCCAAAAGCTCCCTTATGAAGGTGTGCAGTTGGCTTCCTTTTTTAAAGCAGGTTTAGCCTAAAATGTATGTCAAGATAAAGGAAATATTTTAATCAAGACTATCTGATTCCAGCCAAGACAAAGATTTAAGGAGACAGTGCTGCAGTCTGGCTGACTCGCCTCGGCAGGCCTGGGGTCACCTGAAAGGCAGCCGCTCACTCGCACAATGACCTGCTTTCATTCACCGGACACTGGTGAGAGTAGCACGGAATGAGAGTACAGCCTCAAACATATCCACACTAAGTAATGGCATACGGCTGGCTGCTGCCTGCCCGCTGTGTCGCTACTCAGCATCACAAATCTCCCCGGAAAAAAATGCGTCTTCACAATCCCAAAACTTCTGTGACTGACATTCCAACTCAAAGTGTGCATGTTTCTCAGAATCCACTCTGCTTATTCACTAACTACCTGACGGACTCAAATGATTAAACAAAAAAAATGACAATGCCGGCCCTCAGCGATGCGATTCCCAATTTGTGTTCCGATTACTCAAACATTCCAGCTTCGGTCAGCCGACACCTTCAGAGCTGTTGGATGCCTCATTATACAAACTGTCCAAAGGCAAGTCACATCAATAACTCACCACAGATGAAATATGAACAAAATTATAATTCACTGCTACAGGCAGCAAAACATTCCACAAAACTAAAAACAAATGACCCTGTTGAGCATCAACAAAACAGACATTTTCCCAGAATTACCCTCCTTTTGCAGGACGTGTCAGCTCATGGAGAGAAGGTTACAGCACCCCTCGTGGCCAAGCCTGGGCAGTACAACTGGAAAAAAGGCATTTTAACCATAACAGGAAGCAACTGAATGATAAAGAAACTGAACATACAATGATTATGTCTGCACTGTACTTGTATCATTTATGAAAATGTGTGCCTGTGTGTCAGGGCACTTAGGTGTCGTCATTCATTTCCTGGCTGTCTGTCCTGGCGATTTTCCGAGGGGGGGCTGGACTCTCTCCTTCCTCTTGCTCCTGTTCCCTCTTCTTGGCTGCATTCTGTTCCAATGAAAAGAGAGTTTAATTACCTCACTTCCCAAACTTACAATCATCACCCAAAGCAGCAGAAATAAACCTGAAACTGAAAAAGCTAATCACCACATTATTAAATTGTATTCTAAATATTTTAACACGTAATTAACTTTTAACATCACGTAAGTAATATGGCAGACTGTTCTTGAATATTTCGTGTTATCCATGTCTCTTACTTTTTTGTCCCACTGCTGATTCAGGTAGCGGAGGAGAATGTTGGTTTTCTCTGTAACGATGACTAAAAGAAAGAGGAATTCAGTATGTCCTAAACACCAAACGCAGCTGGATCAGTGCTATAGAAAACACTTACTCAAAGCAGTAAGATAGGCCTTCTTCTTAGAACGCTTACTCAAAGCAGTAAGATAGGCCTTCTTCTTAGAACGCTTACTCAAAGCAGTAAGGTAGGCCTTCTTCTTAGAAGAAGTCATATTAACACTATAGCTAATAAGCTTCCTTCACGATTCTGGGGAAAAACAAGTTATCTAGCAGAGCTGAACAGGCTGGTAACTAAGAAGATAAAGGGAGGACGTGTGTGATCCTTTCCTCACTGGTGTAATGGTTAGTGTGTCCGGCTAATACAGGAGACTGGGGCTCTGATTAGTTAGCTTTGTCTTTGTGCAAACTTTTCTCAAAATTCCTTGCTTGGGTTCAACGAAGTACATCCACCCATTCCAACGTCATATCCTGGGGGGGGACCTGGAGCCTATTTAATGCCGGTTTGTCACACACATTCACACATTACGGGTAACTAATTCTGAGGCAGCAATTAGACTAACTACATGCTTTGGTTTATGGGGGAAACCTGGAGTGCCCAGAATAAAGCTGAATGAGGCAGGAAGAGAAGGGCAAACTCCACACAGAGAGGTGGGACTGAAGCTCACAACCCTGCAGGGGTGAGACGACAAAGCTGCACAAGGGGCAGAATGAAGGAATTACTCTACTGGCATAATTGAATTGAAATACATAATTGAAATACAGGCATTTGTAAGGCAAAGATTGCCTTAATACACATGAAATATACATTAGACTGTGATTAATGAGATTAATCAAATCACACTGAAATACTGCCATCCTAAATTTACCTACCAGACTGAAAATTCTACACATTCATATTAATTTGATGAACCCATGGTTGATGCAAAATTAGTTGGAAACAAAAGTAAAATGAAGGTGTAACATTAAGGAAGCTTCTACCGGATGTTTCTGAAATTAGTAAAATTGCAGAAAGGTCGTCCCATTTGTAATAGAGGACTTACTCTGTTCAGAAGGGTATTCCCGGGTAGGAACGTACACTGAGGGCCTCCTATTCTGTTAAAAAAATAAATAAATAACCACAATAAACAAAATGCAGCTCATCCTGCGAAAACCTTAGAGGCTCATTCTGTAAGAGCTATAAGGGTGGAACTAATCAAACTGGATATTCATGAAACTTCAATGTACAAGAAGAGCTCTGGTAACAAATCTGATGCACTCTCACAAGTTGGAACCAGGGTTTTTGGTTCGGTACCTGGCATGGTAGATTGGTAACGGTACCAGTTTCGTATCAGTTTGGTACAAATGCAAAAAATAATAAGAAATATTCACACTATATTAAATAGTTTTGCATTCCCTCGCAGCAGTTTTCCATTAATAATACTAGTACTAATAATAACTGTACTGTGTCCGTTTAAAGTACAAAAGATGGAATTTATGGACTAATAAGTATAAACCTAAACGATACAAACGTATCCATTTAAGTTTGTTTTAAGCATTAAACTCTGGGGGACAGTACACACCATGTAACTTTGATTTATGTATATTTGTAATTGCACCCATTAATAATGATTAGTAATGCAAAAATACTGCGAGGGACCGCAAAACTATTTTTAAAATATTTTCCCGCTCTGACCTCTTACAGGCTCCGTACAACTTGCAAAGCCTATTTTTAATACGATAACTACAGAAATTCTACATCATATTAAAATAATACGAAATCTCAGATAATTCTCACAATTTTATAAATCCTGGCCAGTGGAAATTTTACGTCACCCTAACCAGACTAAAGATTGTCATTAGACAATCTTATTCTCAGCATATTCATGTGATCATCATGCATACCTTTCGTTCCTGGAATTCCCTGTACAAATCGGGGATGCACATGCATCAAATGTTGAATAAGATTAGACATACAGCCTCCTGCCACACATCTTAAGTTCCGTTTGCATGAAAGTGTGGAAGGGGACTCCACCTCTCCACTGTCACTTGCCCTAAACGCAACTTTGTTTTCCACAAGTTTCAGCGCTGTTTGGGCTGTTGTCGTACCAAAATCGTGATACCGTACCGTTTTAAACTTCAAATTTACCGGTAACTGGAGCAACCCCAGTCAGCACTATAAGGACACGGGATGTATGAAATCTACTGAACTTAAGAGCAAAAACACTTAAGTGGCTGCTTAATGGTGCCCAGGCCTCTCACGGCTCCCCCCAGACCTGAGCTTACTGGCAGACAGGCTGTCAGGATCAGCGCTCCCCACACAAACCGGCAATGCTCACCGAAGTTTTGCAGACAGAATCTGCATGAAACCTGCTGAAATTGCTCTTGTTGTAGACAGGAAGGCCTTTCAGAAAGTCTGCCTATACAGAAAAATACCACACAATCATTTTAATAATTACTTTCAACAGTGAGGAAAACCTCAGACAGCAAGAAAGCGGGCAGCTGAAATGTAAAGTAATGATACGTCAATTACAGGATTTAGTTTCTCGAAGGTCTAAATTAGCGCACAGAGAACATGAGGATGTTAGAGTAACTCCAGTTTATCACTGGAAGTCTTTACGTTGATAGGACTCGTTGAAATAAACGAACTCAATCGAGAAAGCTTATTATTTACATTTGAAAAGGCAAACTATGAAATAGCAATGTCCTGCTGTGTGGTTGTGTAGTAACTTGCTTATTCTGATGTTTACACTTTCCAGCCATTGCAAAACGAAACAAATCCATGTTTGTTAGATAACATGTGGACAAAGTAACAAGTGTTTTTCAATGTTTTTGCTAGTAAAGCTTTTAGAAACAGTATAATTGACATGAAGCGCGAGGTGCTAGCCACAAGATAACCGGCAAAGCACTTCTGCCGACGTTACACATGAATTAGCCAGTTAACATAATTATCATAATTTTCCAGTGACTATATGAAACACCCCTATAATAATGAAACAAATACGTTAACAACCAAGACAAACAGTGACTTCTGACTCAGCTGCTGCATCTAACCTGTTCATTTAGACTACACACTAGTAAGCTAGCGGTCAAAAATTGCCATCTACCATGAATATATTACATTATTAACGGTGTCTAGAGTTTTAAGCATAAAAATGGTCAGACCATTAATGCTTTACCTTACCCATACTTCGTTATTTGTGCTAACCCAACATAGAAATTAAATCCTACGTGACCTTAACCGAGATCACAGACTTAATTTCATTACCAACAGTTTTGAACTATAGCTGCTCACCAGAGAAATATACCCTTTCTGTAATTCCATCTAGTCTGTATATCGCGTTAGCCAGCAGCCGTGTCTGAAATCTGTCGCGACTATTTGTAATGATCCAGCCTAACAGCACCTGCGGGTCACCATTACTATCAGAAAAAGGACATCAGGTCTACGTGGTCATGCACTAGCGGACCTCGTTATCTGAAACCCACCATCTTTGACTCAATTCACAACGAGCTTTCGTGAATAATTTGTTGATATCCACTGGATGTGCGAGTTACTACTGGGCACCCGTGGCTTCCATACTGTTGACTGAGTGTTGGGGAACGCCAAGCGAACTCGGGGGAACTCGCGTGACAATTGGACCGAGCTCTGCCTGTCATTCCTAACTTTTTCTAAATCTCGCGAGATGTTATAACGGCGGAGACAGCTCTGCGGGGCGAACGCGGCTGGTGGGCGTATGGGAAATGTAGTTGGTAACGTAATAATCCTCGTTTCAGGAATGGTCAAGCCCACGAATCCACTATTGGACAAGTTTATTTTGTGTATTCTTTTGTCAGCTTTGCTACTTTTTACTAAAGGGAAAAGGTTGTCAGTGATGTTCTAACAGTTATTATAATTCAGTGATGCGAAGAGCCAAGTCTGGGGGTTGGTGCCCCTTTATCAACAGAAGGGAAAGTTGTAGTTTTATCCTGTTTAAGCACTACTTCTCATGTGTGGCTCATTAAATCGGTCGCACACGATATACCGTCCAACTTATCTGTGGACGTGTTGCTACGGAGTTTTATACGTGAAGCACCGCGCGCAACGTGTTATCAAGTGATATTGCTAACAATGGCTACCAATTAGTCGGATAATTTGTCGGATTTAAGGTAGTTCGGGCTAATTGTAAGTGAACGAAGATAAAGGCCATTTAAACTGAGGTACCTTAATTCCGACAAGTTGTCCAGCTAAGCAAAAAATCTTGCTTTTTCATATGGGTCCCGAGTTTATAGCGGATGTGACGTAATATCGGAATCCGAAAATCGGATCCCGAGGCAAATGGAATGCACGGACAGTCTACGGATTCCCTGTTGAGAAATTGCGATTTATACTCTACGGTTCCTGCTGCTGTTTGTATAGGGGAAGACTTAGTTTGGGCTATGGGTGAGAGATATATTCCCTTACCCTGCCCTTTCATCATTTTGTCTCCCTTAGCAGTGGCACTACCCTCCAAAGCATTTGGTTCTGGGGTAGAGGGACCTATAAGAGTAAGATTAGACAAACTGTTACTAACGTTCAGGTTGAGAGATTTATTAACTACCTTATCACTCAGACTGTGTAAGGTACCATGAATCTGTGCTGTAGTTGTAATTTGTTTTGGGCCTACGATTGGCCTGTTGCTCAGGGTCTCACCCTTTGGTGTTTCTGGGAACTGTAGTTCCCCTTCCCCTGCTGTACATAAATTAAATCTGCCAATCTCGGGAGGACTAGTCCTTAAAGGGATGTTGTCATTACTAGCATTAGACCGTTCTTTTATACTGGCCAAAATTATGCCTTTAGTTTTGTCTAAAACTTCTATTTTAAGTTTTTTATGGTACCTTTTCCTGGCCCAATGGTTGGCTATTTCCCATTCCCTTTGTTTAAATTGGTCTACTGTATGTAAACGCAATTGTCTACCCTGTATGTAATGTTCTTGTAATATTTGCATATTAGTATCCATCCATGAACTAGTATTGGCCATTATTTTAGCTGCTGTACTATTTGTAAGAACCGCTGGTTTTATAAATTGTGTGAGTTTGATGACCTGTTTCATCATGCCTGATGGGAGTGTATTGGTTAATAATGACCCCTCCACCATCATTAAATGGTACTGCCTTTTACGTGCAGTGGAGTAGCAGTCTGTGCCCTGCTTTGTGCCCTGTGTTTCCTGGAAGATATGGGCTCATCGTCATTCTGTAGCGGACAAGTGGTAGGAAGGTGAGTGCCAAGGGATTATATTAGTCAGATGTATATTGGCCAGGACTGACTCAGATAACAGGCCATTTTCACACATCTGCATTCTGTCTCCTGGATATACGTGCAATGTCACAATGACAGCAGTAATGGCTTGCATCTTGCAATTATTTATTTTTTTTTTACACATTTTAGTGTTTCACGTAAACAACCACACTTATCCTTCCTAACCTCTCCAAATCACCAACATTGTAAAAGAACATGGATGCATTAAGAAAGATGAAAGAACAACTTATAAGGTCCAAATGTATGTAGAGACAATGAAATAAAATAATTGAAGTTGTATTATGATTTTTAAATATAAGTGTTGTACTCAGACTTTGTATAATGTTCTGTATAACTTTGATTCTGATTTCTCTTTTATTTAGCTTAATGTTTGCATTTTGAGGCTTTACCCGTATTAAAGTAAAAATGCTGAGGATTCATTATGCTTAGGTTGATTAAATGTCTAAATCAGGGGTCTCAAACTCCAGTCCTGGGGGGCTGGAGCCCTACACGGTTTTTGGTTCACCCTCATTTAACACACCTGAGTCAACTCCTTGTGCTAATTACCACACAGGTCTTGAGCTGAAAACTCGGTACGTTCATGGTTAAATGACATGCTGTAGCTCCCACGCTAAAAAAATGTTATTGGTAGCAAACACACACCCCCTCCCCCATCTTCCTTGCTAAGTTTTTTTCATTATGGCATCCAGATCAGTATGGGCTGCGATTGAATTGAAAAGAAAATCATTGGTGAACAAATGAAAGAAGCGTGGATGTGGCAGGTGGTCCCGACACCCTGGGTCAGGAAGCACCCCTGTTCCATCTACAGAGGACACCAAGGACATTAATTAGCCCAACTCAAACCCCTATGCGAAGTACAATGTACCCATTATAGCACAAGATGGGCTCTTTAATAAGAACTGGAGACCTCTGCAGTTGGAAAACACAGCTGTTAAAACCAAGCCAATATTAAGAGTGCTTACAATCACAGCACTTACTGCTATCTTGTGTTGTGTTTGGGTTACCTCAACACATGGTTCCTCTAAATGGACACTTATCTACATTTCTCACTTTAAGACTTGTACATTCTTTATACATTATTTATCTCCTCCCAGTAAATAAAAATCGCCAGGCCATTATTTACAGTACAGTCCATGAAATGAAACATTATATTACAGTACAGTATCACAGCAAACCATGTTAGTTCGGTGGATGCAGTAGGTATCCCAGGAAATGGTTACTTAGCAACAGAAAGAGAGCTGTTGCTGTGATACAGAGAAGGGAAAACAAGTGAGTGTGCTTCGTAGTTTATTCTAGGCAATTTGAAAATGTACCTGAATTAATATTCAGGTAAGCTTTGTAGTGTTTTAACAAAAGCTCCTTTAAATATTGGACAAAGCATTTTTTTTGCAATTTGCCAATTGCTGCGAATTACATTTTAAATATTAAAACATATTTCCGATATAGGTTAACATGAAGTGAGCGGTGTTATTTAACGGTGTTTCATGCAAATACCACCTTTGTAAGGATGAATATCCAATTCATTCTAGTAATAGCTTAAGTTATAATATTGCAAAAAATTACATTTTCTTTTGCCTTAAAAAAATCTATACGACCATTTAAAAAAAAATGTTTTTCAGTCACCGACCACTCTTGTTTGTTGGCAGAAATGCCAAGGTACAGTTGCGAAGCCTTTCAGAGCTCACTGTAACTGGCCCACGTGCCTGTCAGTCGAGCACCCGGGGCGGGTTTTACGGCTGCACCAGCGCAAGGACGAGGGAACAGCAGGGCGCGCTCGGGTGTGTTGTGGATGGGGGGTGCGGACAGGTACATGCATCGCACAAACATGTACATGGGAAACTCTGTCTGTCAGTCCAAACATACCGATCTACAAATTATTTGCCTGTCATCTATAGCGAAACACAGCTCATCACAACAGCATCATGTGAGACACAGATGGGGATAGAGAAGCGAGGTGCAGCAGAGACGATTCCAGTTAAATTAGATTATTGGATTGGCTGCAACAGATTAAAGCAGGTCTTTTTTTCCACGACGTTTGGTTGACATAATCTAGGAAACCCTACCATCTTTCGACGTTTCTCATCTCGAAAATTAATATTCAGGTAAGCTTTGATTTATTGCAGAAAAATGTTGGTATTCTTAGGTGTCTGTTTCGTGTGATGGTATCAGCGCTAGAAAAAATATAATGAATGAACCGAAGCCTGTCACATTACAGCTACATTCTTTTGGTTATAATGCGTCGCGTTTATATTTACGGGATATTACCGCCGTTTTCGTAATTAAATAAATGTGCTATTTGCGCTTTGGCTCATGAAACGCTGCGCTTTATATATAATATAGTTTTTGTCATAAACAAATGTGATGGTTGACAAAGGGTTGAAATCCCTTCTGGCGTTTGCCGACAATTTGCTGCATCAATTAGTCCTTCACTCATTCAGTGCACTAGCGAAAATGCAGTCATTGATATCTGATTTAATGCACTGCAGGTAAGTATATTTTACCTACTCGTTAATATTTTTAAAGGCTGCACATTTCCCTTCGTACTGCTCAGGAATACACAAAACCACATTAGTTCTTTAAGGAAACCTGTGAATTACTGCAGTGACCCAGATCTGTATTGCGGACAACAAACCAGCACCTAGCAGAGTCGAGTTAAATGGTCCCTCTGAAAAAGCGCATTTCCAGAAATCTTCATGTTCACTTAATAAACATACTGCATGTACACTAGAGAATTTATTTTATGAGGCTCCTGTGTATAGGATGCATGTAATGGAAAATGACGGGGAATGGATTTAATCCAAATGGTCGTTTGGCTGTATATATGCATGCTCAGATAATTTACATAAGATAAAAAATTGTCAATAGGCCTATTTAGTTTGTCAAACTATGCTAAATAATACCCATTGACCATGTACATAACTATTAATTGTACATAATTGCCATGCTTTTTTGAAATTACGCACAAATCAATAAGCATAGGGTAACTCATTGTTCATCAATAACAAGTCATTAATTGTTATTTGACTATTCGTATCATTGTAGTGCCAAGCATAATTACGCTATACTAATTGGTGTAGTAATAATATGTATACGATGTAATATATGTGTAGACGTCAGCTCTTAAAAACAGAGTGTAACCGACAATAAATATCAAGCTATTTTTCCACACAAGATGAGCTGACATCTTGTTATTTTACAGACATCTCCATGTTTTTTAGTTTGAAATGCTGATGTTTTAGAGATTCCATCCATGGTAACATGTCTCTGGGTGTCAGTCTTTGTATGTCCACATCCCAGTAAAAACCAAATGTGTAAATTGGTACGTGAATTTATTTATGATCTCCTTACATTTCAAAGAAAATTTACAGTGAAAGTTGGCTGCCACCTCTGCGTTTTTGCAGGCAGGTGATTTCCGGGCTGGGAGAGCTCACTCAGAATGACAGATTGAAGTGTTTGTTACTCCCCTAATAGTTCTCTGCTATCAGCAGTTCTGGTCAGATTCCTCAGCAAAACGGGTAGATTGAACATGGTGTATCCTTCAGGTACTCCGGGTCCCTCCCGCAGGCCCATGCCACATTTCGTTGGGGCGTACACCATGTGTGTTCCCTGCGCAGTCTGAGATGATCTCCAGGCCTGCTTATGACCGCCACCAGCAGAAGCGGTTAGATGATTGGAATGTGAGGGATCTTGTTTTATTGTCATATTAGCTTTTGAGCAAAAATGAAAGAAACCTCTAACCTGAGAGCAATATTATTTGCTATCTTGAAATATTATCCACTTGCTTCTTTGCATAGAAATTGATTATTTTATAAGCAAAGATCCCCCATCTCTTACTAACAGCACTGAAACTCCGTACGAGTTTGTGTCTCCTGACATTTAAACATTAATTTGCTTTCTGAAGCAGATTAATTTTGGCTTTTAGATCATTTGTTTTAAGGTTTCCTCCTAATTCTGCCAGACATAAACTTGTAGAATTGGTTATAATGATTTGTTTGGAGATTATTTTGTAGTGAACTTCAATTGTTGCATTGCATTAGAATAACGGTTTTAGAGAATTTTCATGACGTAACTTCTCTGAATTTTAGGTCGATTTGGACCGAAAACCAAGGCTAATTCAAACCATTCATGACATGCACAGTAAAAACTCATGTCATTTATTCTGCTATATGAGATGTGGTGTTTTCAGTTTGTGGTTTTTGTGTTACCTTTAGATTTAAACCACTGGAATGCACCCCACGTTGTTTAAAGGAAACATGAATTTTTTCCTTCGGTTACAAAATGGATTGACTGCAGTGGATTGTTGCTCATCTGCTGGTATCCTGAAATATTTTGGCTTTGCCTCACAGTTTGCATTTAAAACTGCTACATTACCTAATGACAAAAATTAGATCTAAATAATATCTCATCAGAATATATAGACACAACTGTTCACTTTTGTCTTAATAGAGCTAATGAATAATCAATAAAAATATTTAAAAAGTGTGCTAATGGTTAACAGCTCAGGATACTATAACAGCATTTTCCCTTAGTCATTGAGTGATAAGGTATTTAAATAAGCTGTCATAAAAATATTTATTTTGAGTTATAGAGGTCTGTTTAGAAGCCTTGCTTTGCTGACAGCCTGAAAAAGGTCAGTTTAGAAGGCCTGCATTGCTGACAGCCTGAATGAGTTCTGTTTAGAAGGCCTGCATTGCTGACAGCCTGAATGAGTTCTGTTTAGAAGGCCTACATTGCTGACAGCCTGAATGAGGTCTGTTTAGAAGGCCTGTTTTGCTGACAGCCGAAATAAGGTCTATTTAGAAGGCCTGCTTTGCTGACAGCCTGAATGAGGTCTGTTTAGAAGGCCTGCTTTGCTGACAGCATGAATGAGGTCTGTTTAGAAGGTCTGCTTTGCTGACAGCCTGAATGTGGTCTGTTTAGAGGGACTGCTTTGCTGACAGCCTGAATGAGGTCTGTTCAGAAGGCCTGCTTTATTTGCAGCCTAAATGATGTGTAATTTTACTGCATCATGTTCTTTAAATTCTGTATCCTAATTCCACATAGACTGTGTTCAGAGAGCACCTTTAGCATCTCATGAAGAATATGATCATTTACAGCAAAACTGAGTCATCAGACCATTGAGTTCACAATGGTGCCAATCGTTGAATCAAACTGAAGAGTGCAAATGAATATGTGGAGTTTTATTTTGACTACATGTGTAGTTTTCAAGGATTATATTCCCAAAGGCTAACAAGGAAAAAATGAGAACACTGACTGTATCTTAGTGAAATTTCCATACAGAAACCTGTGTGTGTTTATGAGATTCAGGAAGTCAAAACAGGCAAAGAGAAATTAGCGACGATCACTGAGACTGATAATAAATACAAACACATCACTCAACTATCAAAGGCCGCCGTGAAGGTAGAGCCTGTCCCAGGATAGGCTGCGGTTATTCAGCAAATAGATCATTAAATGAAACTAAAGTATTTTCATTTCACAATAGTAGGATGATATGCACTATATGGACAAAAGTATCGGGACACCTGGCCATTACACCCACAGGAATTTTAATAACATCCCATTATAAATCCATAGGCATTAATATGGAGCTGGTCCTCCCTCTGCAGCTATAACAGTGGACACTCTTCTGGGAAGGTTTTCCACAACATTCTGGAGTGTGTCTGTGGGAATCATTGCCCCTTTCATCCAGGAGAGCATCTGTGAGGTCAGGCACTGATATTGGACCTGAAGGCCTGGCTCACAATCTCCGCTCTAGGTCATCCCAAGGTGTTCGATGGGGTTGAGGTCAGGGATCTGTGAGGGTGAGTCAAGTTCTTCCAAACCAAACTCACCCAACCATGCCTTTATGGACCTTGCTTTGTGAACTGAGGCACAGTCATGCTGGAACAGAAAAGGGCCTTCCCCAAACTTTTCCCACACGGCTGGAAGCACATAATTGTTCAAAATGTCTTGGTATGCTGAAGTATTAAAAGTTCCCTTCACTGGAACTAAGGGGCCTCACCCAACCCCTGAAAAACAAACCCATACCATAATAACCCATCAGACTGTCAGACAGAGAAGCGTGATTCGTCACTCCACAGCACACATTACCACTGCTCCAGAGTCCAGTGGCGGCGTGCTTCACACACTCCATCCAGTGCTTGGCATTGCACTTCATGATGTGAGGCTTGCATGCAGCTGCTCGGCCATGGAAGCCGTTACATGAAGCTCCCTGTGCACAGTTTTGAAGCTGCGGTTAATGCCAGAGGAAGTCTGGAACTCTGCAGTTATGGAGCGTTGGAGACTTTTACACACTATGCACCTCAGCACTGCCCCAGCCCGTTCTGTTACTTCACATGGTATCCCACTCAGTTTCTGCCGTTCCTAAACGCTTCCACTTAGCAATAATACCACTTACAGTTGACCGTGGAATATCTCGCAAGGAAGAAATTTCACAAACTGACTTATTGCAACGGTGGCATCCTGAGACAGTACTACACTCGAATTCACTGAGCTCTTCAGAAGGACCCATCCTTTCACAGATGTTTGCAAACCTGACTGCATGGCTAGATGCTTGATTTTATACACCTGTGGCAATGGGTCTGAATGAAACACCTGAATTCAGTAAGAGGTGTGTCCCAATACTTTTGTCCATATAATGTAGTTATATCTGATATTTTTGTATAGTGTGTCCTGTTGGGGGAAATAAAGCTGTTTGAAATAATTGAATCATTAATGGGGGAGGGGGGGCTCATTTGGTTACGTGGAAGCCGGTCTGATTGTGGGGCTTGAGCAGCTGTGTCATGAAGGTAAGACAGATGGAAATGAATCATCCTGCGGAAGCATGCGGCGGCGGACGGAGCGGGTACGAGCAGGGACCCTGCAGTCCTGGCACATTTTCTTGCTCCATGCATGAAGACTGTCATTTTGCAAAACCTGAATGTGCGTTGGATCACCTGTTCCCCCCCGAGGGAATGAATTTCATTCATCCATCCATCCATCCATCTAACTTCTGACATCTAATGCAGGGTCGCGGGGAGCCTGCGCTCGGAAACGCTGGCCAAACGGCGGTGACTCGCTGGGTCGCATGCCAGTTAATGCCATTCAGCTGTTAGTAAAAGCCCTTATCTGGAAACGAATTAAAGTCATTGGTTGCCGTTGGAATTTGGTTATTCTGCTGCTGAACAATGAAAGATTTTTTTTATTGCTATATACGCTTCAGTAATCTCTCAATGTGGTCATTTTGGCTTTCAGTGAAATGTAACTTTTTCACTATATAAGTGTCATAAAAGGCTTTTTCCATCTTCACAAAGATCTGGAGAATTCTTATTTCATTCAAACATTTCTCATTGGTTGGGTTTGTCTTCAGACCTTCATGATTCCCATAATGCATCAGCAGTGTAAGCACTCTGTGAACATTTGGAGCCCTCAGGATGAACACAATATAGCTGGCTGTGGCCCAGTCATGTGTTATTACTGAGACAGTATAGCTGGCTGTGGCCCAGTCATGTGTTATTACTGAGACAGTATAGCTGGCTGTGGCCCAGTCATGTGTTATTACTGAGCCTTTCTATTAATAAGCAGGTGGGCACGCTAGATGAAGAGGCTTTTTCTATTTATATACTGTATGTGCATGAAATGGACAAGCTGTGGTTAAACTCAGTCATCAGTCAAGTGCTTTGTTGTAAGTACAGGGACTCGTACTTGCAGATTATATTGAGGGGGGGTTCATCCTTTTATTGTCTATGCTGAAATTACACAATGTAATCAATGTAGGTCGGTCCACTGGGTTAATATATTCTTTTGCAAATCCGTAAACCCAGCAAACAATGTGTTGGACCTCTCCCAGTCAGTGCTGTATTATTCCGTTCAACCTTGTTGTCGTGTTTTAATTTAGAAGCAATCCGATTTAGCCCATTAATATATTTGTGAGCTTGCGCTGCAGCATCGAGCTTCTCGGGGAAGAATGCTCCAAGGACAGAAGTCTTTAAATAAGTTGTGTGGCACTGATAGGTTGTACACAATCCAGGGAAAGTGTGTAATAAATCATAAATTAAGAATGTACGACGAGGGAGATTTAACACTTGGAAGATATGTAAAACTGACAAACAATATCACCAAGCCACTAAAATAATAAAAGTCCATTCATTCTTCCATCAATCTGCTGACTGTTTATCCTGCTTGGGGCTGTGCGGAACCAGGCAGCTCTGGTCTTATGAAAATATTTTTTGTTTAGTCTAATACCTTAATAAGGCATCATGTTGTTGTACCACCTTCCAAACTATGTATGTTGTACAGGGAAATATATTTTAGGACAATTAGTCCTGTTAGCTTACAGTAGACTGTGCAAATACATTTAATATCTGCTTTATGTGCTTGACTGTTCCAACATAATCGGATCACCTAGAACCTGACGTGTTTCATTGAGGAGCCTGCCAAACCTTATTCATTAATTTATCTGTACTTTTATTGCAGTGTGTAAAAGAACTTTTAACCATATAAGAACGTCTTGGACCTGTAATGAATTGCAATGTCTGTTGACATCAAGGATGTTTGCCCTTGATGTTACTTGGACGTCCTTCAAGTCAGTCAGTATATTTAGGCAGCAAACACCCTGCTATTGCTGTCATATGATCAAGTGTTAAGCAGCATGATCACTATAACAGGAATGTTTCCGTCCACAGGTGTCCGCCATGCTGACAAGTATCATGGACGGGATTCTCTGCTGCCTCGCTGGCAAGTCCGCCAACGTGGTCGTGCCCATCGAGACTTGCGAGCCGGCCGATGGCTTCGAGTTCGTGGAGGTGAAGCCCGGGAGGGTGCTGCGGGTGCGACACATCGTCCCTGAGCGAGCCGTGGTGACGGAGCACGCCAATGGCCAAGGAGGCAGCGTGCACTGCAAGCGCAAGATCACGGTGTATCGCAATGGGCAGCTGATCATCGAGAACCTCGGCGAGGTGGTTCGCTCCGAGCTGCTGCACTGTCAGAACGGCGACCCGGAGCACAGCAGCACGCTGGAGGTGGAGCTCTCCAACTACAACAGCCCTGCTACCTCTACGGGGACCCCCGATCGCCAACTGTCGGGACAACCGCCTGTGCCCCGCCGTCGTCACCGCAAGCCCAAGCGCACGGTGCTCATCGATTGCGAGCGCAAAATATCGAGTTGTAAGGGGACCCACGCAGACGTGGCGCTCTTCTTCATGCACGGCGTGGGTGGCTCGCTGGACATCTGGGGAAGCCAGCTGGATTTTTTCTCACGTTTGGGCTATGAGGTCATCGCCCCTGATCTGGCCGGGCATGGTGGCAGCTCCGCCCCACAGATAGCTGCTGCCTACACTTTTTATGCTCTGGCGGAAGATATGCGTGCCATCTTCAAGCGATATGCTAGACGGCGGAACATTCTCATCGGACATTCCTACGGGTTGGTGTTTAGTGTGTGTGACTTAACAAAAAATAACATATCCAACACTTCATATTTCAAACATGGAAGGGAGAAATATGCTTTCAAGTCACACTTTTCCTGGGTATCACATGTAACTACATTTTCACACCAAATTTATGCAGCTGGATTATTCCTTAAACCATGAGCTAAGAGTTGGTGGTAGAGGTATCCCCCACTTTACAATTGACCCCTTTATGCCACTTCGCTTTAACCGAAGACCTACATTATATTTAGCAGCTGTTTTCGCTAACTGGAAAAAAACCAAAAAATTCCAATCACTTTTTACGAAATGGAGAAAAGTGAAAATAGTGGTTAGCATTTGTTTGTCAGCAAGCAAATTATAGATATAGAGTCAGGTGCCACATAACGACGTTTTGGTTAATAATGGACCGAAAATATGATGGTGGTCCCATAAGATTATAACAGCTGAATAACGTTGAGACATAGTGGGACGCATTAGTCGCGTGTTTGTGGTAATGCTGATGTAAACAAACCTATTGCGCTGCCAGTTATGTAAAAGCACAACACATACAATGCTTGATATTAATAATAACTGTTACTGGTTTTTGTATTTCCTATAATGTACTTTTTATCGTTATTTAGGCAATACCATGTTGCCTAGGTGTGTAGTAGGCTATACATCTAAGTATGTGTAAGAACGCGCTCATCCGCACAACGACGAAATCACCTAACAATGCATTTTTCAGAACGTATCCGTGTTGTTAGAAGTGACTGATTGCTGTGTTGATTCCGGAGATGACACTGATACATTTTGTTAGCTTTACATAGGCTGTATTTGTCGTACATTCCTGCTTTTACCATATGTTAGTGTTATTTTAGGTTTTATTTTATTTGATTTGTTAGGCTATTTTTTTCGGTCTAGAAATGCCCAATAGTTTTTCCCATAAAATCTAACGGCAGTTGCTTCTTTCCTTTACGCCACTATGGCTTACGAAAGCTTTCATAAGGCAGCTGTATTTCTGTACAGCCTAGGGTGGCCTGTGCCCTGTATTTACAGTAACTGTGAATTGTTCCCATTTTTTGATAGTGTAAATGTCTCTAGTTTTTTTTTTCTTCAATTACATTAAATAAATTCTACTCAGGGTGTTCAGGGTGGTCCGGACCCCCGCGGTTACAGAAAATGTACGTTTGGATGGTTGGTTGGTTTTCAGGATGTTTCCTGCCCTCACCATGATTCGTCCTATTCGCCCGTCATTATTTAGGGTGTCGTTCTGCACCTTCCTGGCCCATGAGTACCCAGAGCAGGTGCATAAGGTGGTGATGATCAACGGAGGGGGGCCCACAGCCTTGGAGCCCAGCCTCTGCTCCATCTTCAACCTGCCCGCCTGTGTGCTGCACTGCCTCACACCCTGTCTGGCCTGGAGCTTCCTCAAGTACGTCCAAATCCAGATGAGGGTCTCCTGCTTCACTTAGAGCGACCCTTACTTCCACCCATTGTGACTTGTGAAAACTCATTAAAAATGGTGTTTCAGTTGCCTATGTTTTATGATTATGTAGGCTAGCTGAAAAGCTTTAAAATGCATTCATATCAAAATGGCCAAAATCTCACTCGTATACTTCTACACACTTCAGAGCTGGGTTTGCCCGCCAAGGTGCCAAGGAGAAGCAGCTTCTGAAGGAGGGCAATGCCTTCAATGTGTCGTCCTTCGTCCTGAGGGCCATGATGAGCGGGCAGTACTGGCCAGAGGGAGACGAGGTGTACCATGCGGAGATCGCCGTGCCCGTCCTGCTGGTGCACGGCATGCACGACAAGTTTGTGCCAGTCGAGGAAGACCAGCGCATGGCAGAGGTACTCAGTGACCCAGCAGTGCCTTTTAACACGGCTCCTCAGGCAACAATGGCCTTGAAGCCTATAGAAGCCAGTAATGTATAGAGGCTGTTTTATCCTATGGTTAGAAGATTTTATTTAGGATTTTTGGAAGTTAGGATGTAACATAATATTTCCATTCTTAATGTAATAAGTCGATAATGTAATAACTGGCCAATAAAGTAATTACACTAACTATAGATTATCGGCAAAAAGTTCATATATTTTCTGAACCAATAACGTAACAAATTTTGCCCATAATGTCATCTACAATTAATTATTGGGCAGCTATTACATTATCGACTTATTACATTAAGAAGGAAGAAATCTGTACGGTTATTGGCATATTATTACATTATGGGCTGCTGGGAAACCCCATTAACAGCTGGATCCCACCCCTGTATCATAACGGGGGTTCAAAGGACTCACAGGAAACTGGCTCTTTCCTGCCGTGTGCAGGAGGAATGAGCATGAGGACAAGCTGAGGCAGAAACACCGCGACTTATATGGGGAAAATCATGGGATCATGCATAGTGCAAAATTACCATGGATTCCGTTTGTAGGATCGTTAATTAGCCATATGTAAAGAAATGCCACAAATCCCCACACTAAGTCAGACTACAGTAAGCCTGGACCTGATCCTCTCTTGTTACAGATTCTGCTCCTGGCCTTTTTGAAGGTCATCGATGAAGGCAGCCACATGGTGATGATGGAGTGTCCAGAAGCAGTCAACACTCTTCTTCATGAATTCTTCCTCTGGGAGCCTGATAATTCATCCAAACCCAAACAAGAAACCATCAAGTCCACTAAAGACAAGATTCATCCTGCGAATGGGGCAGCTCAGCTGGCGGCGGAAAACAAGCCCTGAAGCGAGCAGCGGGTCTGGCTCACTCTTTCCGGAATGAAGCGGATCGGTCCGATGGCGCGGTCCATGCTTGGCTTTGTTGAGCATTCCTGCTCGCTGGCTAAAAGGTGGTTTTAATGGCTCCAGAGCATGAGGAAGACATGCAGGGAGGCTGCAAGCAGCTCCAGGTTTGAGCTGGATGCAACAGTCAGACATTCCACTGCAGCAGGAAAGAAGACGAAGACTATGGGGAGGGAAGTAGGACTGACAGCAATCGAGGGAGTAGCGAGTTTACTGTTAAGCATCAGTGACCCTCAGACAGTCTCCTGTGATCCTTGTGGCTCTGCCATTGACCCAAGAGAGGGGTCTCATGCACTGGGAGGAGTTCAACATGCACATAGAGATTCCAGCTGGTAAGTACAGTCATGGTGAGCCACAAGAGGGCGCCATCTCAGAGATTCACTGTGGCAGAGGTAAATCTCTGCTTTTGGCTGTTACTGTTAATTACTGATGATGTACGCTGTCATGTCTGAATGGCTAATCGCAATCATGAAAGGAACTATAAAATATATATCAATTTAATTTTAAATCGCTGGGTTACGTAGCTGAAAATTGCCCATATAAACACATCAGGGCTTAATCTGAATGTCTGGTTCTTGCCACTGTATAGCATTTTTTGAAAATGTGACTTCATCCTGCTTAGTTATTGGTTTTACATAATTTACAAAATATACATATAATTCCACCCTCTGTTTCTATAAGTACAATGGACCTCCAGTGACTGTGTACTGATGTACATTGAGGTTCATGTTCATTTTTTCTAACCCTCTGCGTCATTGAGGAATCAAGCAGTACCTGGGCTAGTACTGTGCACTTAAATCTCTCTTAAATCTGACAATCGGTGCATTTTATGGGATTCCAAAGTTTTTTTCCCCTCTGTGGAAGAGTCCATGCAATGTGTGTACTATGCTCATTATGGTAGGAGACCTCAGTGACTGTAGTTTGGGTTTGAATTATGTTATCGGCACCTTAAAAGAGTGATAAAGCTGAACAAAACGCTGAATTAAATATACTTCACAACAGTGTACTCTATGTTTTTAAAATTTTAATTTATCGTCAGTCATATCAACGCAGACCTTACTTGCAAACAATCTGCAGCAAGAGCCTCTGTAGATGCAGATCAGTTCTGGTCACTTTCTAAAAACTGAGTCCCAAATACATTCAACTGAAGTGATTATGAATTGTCGAGAAGGAATTTGTGTAACTGAGTTTGTGTTTTCATAACTGAAAGCTACACCCGACAATCTAAAATGTAAGGCTGAATGAAGCTGATTTCACTATATACTGCAACATTAAGCGTTAACTTATTTCATTGTTTCTAACTCCATATGGGACATAATTGCCCGACCCCCTCCCCCCATACAGTGTCTGAGACACTGCCAGTTAATTTATTTCCCCCTCACTTTATGTCCAGTAATACAAAGCATAGCAAAGAATCCTGGTAGGAGGAGGAGTTGCTGAAAAGTCGTTATGTACAGTTGCCTGAGAAGTGCTTTAGGAAGGGCTGGCATGGCTGCCCCCTACAGGCCAATGAATGCCATTTTTTCCAGCACTCTGGAACTAGCAAGCAAAGTCAGCAAACGACTCAGACTCTAAATATGGTCTGATTTTATGAAGTTTTGAGTGCATACGGGATTTGGAACGGGATTGTAGAGAATTTCTGCTGATGTACAGCCACAAGAAATCCTTTCTCATATATATTTTCCAAAAAGAGCTAAATTGCAACCATAGTACCTATGAGTGAACTACTATGTGTGTATTGAATTTGAGATTCAAAATATTGTTTTATATTAAGAACAGATATATAATAAAAATATATGAAACGTAATATTTCATTTGGATTCTTAAAAATTTAGGGAAATATGGTATTATCCAGGCGGCAGAATATGAAATTATAATAGTAACAACTTATATTACTCATGTATTACATTATATTTATTTTTCTAAACATGACAGCCCAGCTGAAAGCTGGGAACGCCCTTAAAATGGGCCAGTGAGCTGGTTCTGATGGCAAATGCAGCCTTCAGTGGCAGGCAGGGAAGCACATTAACCAACAAACCAACACTTTCATAGGTGGCAGATCTATTTCCGGTGCCTGTGTGTGTCTGGGGGTCATTGTAACCAATGTGCGTGCAGTGTACTGTATATCGCCTAGCTTATTCCTACGGGCATTATTTTGGGAGGGGGCTTCCGCAGGATGGGGAGACAACAGCTAGTCTCCCATCTGTTACGACTGTTATGTGTGTGCAGGTGTGGCGGGTCTGGGGTACGGCTCAGATCATGAGATCTGCAAAACCTCATTGATTGCGGGGAAAAGCCTGCCACAGATCATTTCCGCATACTTATGGAAGTCCTCTCCATACAAAAATGTTAAGGATTTTAAACCTTTTAAAAGATGGCATTGCCTGTTTGTTGTAGTTCAAAGTTGCAATATGATGCAATAAGAGAGAGGAGATGTTTGTCATGCTGCTCCATTCTCGTCCTTCTGCTTTTAAATGCAGAGTGTAGTACAGCGTGCAACTGAAGCTCTGACTACTTAAAAATTGGTGTTGGAATAAGAGACTTAAGTAAAAGAATAATGCTTAAGTTTTCACTGTTTTAATATGTTGAATTCCTTGGTGCTAGGAAGAGTAATTCCCAAAGAATGCCCTTTATGTTGAAATTCTGGAAACATTGTCACAATCCAAACTATGCTGCTGATGTAGGCTTTGTGACTAGCTGCTGTAAAATGTAACCTGTAAGTAATAGAAATATCAACTTAAATGTATTTTACTCCAAGTTGTCACGTCTTAGAGCCCAAGTATGGTGCTTGTGTGCTCTGTTACTCCGATTTGTGACAGACCATTAAATGCTGTGGCCCCCACCATCCTGACACGCCCCTTCATTCATGTATGCTGGATTCTTATTACAGTTCAATACTGTCATTTTGGAGTTAAGTGATTGAATGACAGTTAAAATGCCAGACTGACTGTTAGCTGAAAGACTGTACAACTTAAAATGCAATTAAAGAAAACCAAACGCTGAGAGAATGTGTGTACTGTATATTAATAATTGCAGATATTTTAAAACATTATCCATTACTTCTGCAAGTAATGGTTTTGTACATGTTGCTCCTCTTGTAACTTCAAACACCCTTAATATCTGACCCGCTGTACCGCTGTAAGTAGCCGTACCATTGCAGGTTATTTGTAAACCAACAGAATCGATTTGGCCTAAATGTGATCCAGCATAATCCAGCATGCAGGGCAGTGAGGGGGGGCCGGCAGACACCTGTATGTCTAATGGATATAAATGGCGTCCTTCAGTGCTGTACAATGTGGGTGTGAGGGTGGGGGGTGATGGAAATGTGTGATGTATGACGAGAAGTCCCACTTGCTGAAGGAGGAAAAGCCGCACATGCATTCGTAGAGGGCGGCAAAGATGACGACAAACCCAAATACAGCTCATTGATACTTTTTAATTGCCTACAAAAATATCTGAACAGATGTGTGTCTAATGCTTATCCACGCTACTGCAAATAAAAGCGTTAATGCCTACTGCAAGATGTAGTCGTATTGTGATCATTTCCACACCTTTGCGACGATCATTAATTATGGTTCACCTGAATGATTTACACTCTTTACCTGATCATCTTAGATCCTGAACAAAGCACAACATGATAACCTGCTTTAGACAGTGACTCCAACACAACATGAATGTTGAACATAAACAAAAGCTGACATGACTTCCTGCTTGTCACCGCAAAAGGTGTGTGTTTTCTGTATCCAGTGCATTCTGTAGTGCGATGCTTTGGCCAATATCCAGTAACTGTGGCTCAGATTCACACCACCCCCCACCCCCCCCCCCCCCCCCCAACAAGGAAACTAAGACTACAATAGGTTATAAAAAGGTGCTATCGTGGAACATTTTTGTGTTTGGGGCAAATTAGGAAGCTACTTTTTTCCACAAGCTGAACTCACATCATCAAACCACTTTGCAAAAGATATGTAACTATATACAGAATACGGAATGCAAGATACTGCTATTTCAGTAACCACCACTTCCAAAGTGATAACAGGAAGGGTTATACAGAGAAAAAACACATAATTCCCAAGATTTAAGATTCCAGTTTAACCCTTTAAGATTACAGTGCTCTTCAAGCTTTTAATGCTATTTTGAATTTCATTTGCAACTTTTTTCTGCAGCTATTTGAAATACTTTCCCATTTTTAAAAATTATTCTGTAATTAAAACTGGAATAAAATGATTACAAAAGCGATAAGAATATATTGAAAAACCATTGTCTATGCATAAAACTGAATGAATCAGTAGCCTCACTGTGACGATGAAGCATGGTTTGTTTGTGCTGCTCGCAGTTTTTCCTTTTAAGATAATTACTGGCAGACGCCTTTCTCCGAAGCTACAATTTTATCTATTGGGGTGATTAGGGATATGATGCAGTAAAGTGTTCTGCTGCTCTCCTTGTAGCATTTGACCGGAATCTGTAATTTAGGTAATAAAAAAAATAAATCAATGTCATCGCCATGATTATAAGTTTTCTGGAATAAAGGAATCTATGTTACCAGTTATTAACTGTAATGAGTCCAGAGGAGAAATCATGGATTGTTCATAACTCCTGCCAGGGTCACCTCACTCACACACGGTCCAAACGGTGTTCATTTAAATATCTGCTGGCCGCAACTGGCGCTCTCCCTCAGCCAGGAAGATCTGCATGGCGCGATAGAGCAGGTGAACACCCAGCTCGCGTCGCCTTTTCAGTGGCCAAGTGGATACCACGCCATAGTAGTCCCCACGCTTTTGGTTGGTGAGCATCTTCAGACCTTGTACCAGAAAACAAACAGCAGGAGAAAGACCGAAGACAATCAAGATGGAGAAAGAGTGCAGGTTTCCCAACATACCATTGGCTACATTCATTATCGTGCCGAGCCCTTGGGACCGTAACTACAGTACATCAGCCCTGTGGCATCAGCCCTAAGCTGACACCACAAGCTTGTAGAGGAGCCCTCTGACTTGGAGTATGACATCAACAAACACATGCATGATACACTAATACCTTATTCTATGTCCTAAACCCCAAATACCCTATTTTACTAATAAGGTCATTTTTATGCACTGAAAATGTTATCCAACTACTAACATTCAGTGATACCGAAATAAACACAGTCAAAACACAGTTTAAAGACCTTAGGCCTGTTCAAAGGAGCAACAATGTAGGGACAGCTATAGGGTTGGGTTACATCGATGTCATCTTTGCCTTCAAAAGTGCCTTCAGGGAATAAGAACATAAGAAATTTACAAAGGAGAGGAGGTCATTCAGCCCATCAGGCTCATTTGGGGAGAACTTAACTAATAGCTTAAACTTGTTAAAATCTTACCTAGCTCTAATTTAAAGGAACCCAAGGTTTTAGCTTGCACTACACTAACAGGAAGACTCCATACTCTACACACTGTGTAAAGAAGTGCTTTCTCAAATCCAGTTTGAAATGTTCTTCCGCTAATTTCCACCTATGGCTATGAGTTCTTGTTTTTAAACTAATATCGAAGTAACTTTGTGGTTGAACAGCCTCCGAACCTGTTAGAATCTTATATACCTGGATCATGTCCCCCCTTAGTCTCCTTTGTTGCAAGGCTAAACAGATTCATCTCAGCTAGGACTGGACGATATGGCAAAAATTTATATCACGATATATTTCTTACTTTTGGTCGATACGATATAATTCCGATATCGATATGGACAATATTAAAAAGACTCAGGAAAAAACTGCCGAGGACACACACAATGGATGTCTGCAAACTGAATTTGCAAAGTCTATAATACCTCCAGGCTCCTCCTATTAAAATTATATAATTTTTTTTTTAAATAAAAACAGTACAAAAAAAAATAAGGTTCACTTTATTTGTATTTAGCCTTTACAAACACGAAATGTGAAATAAACTATCAAATAAATAAAACTCTCAGACTCAGCTTATTAACAATAATATATTTCCATTTAAACTAAAACAGGCTGATTATTCATATACTGTATATTATATGATACAGTATATATGTATATCGAAATATCGGAAATGTGTTTAAAAATCGTATCACCGTTATTGAAAACAATTATATCGCGATATATATTGATATCGAATTATTGTCCAGCCCTAATCTCAGCTAACCTCTCCTCGTAAGACATTCCTCTAAGACCAGGAATCATTCCTGTAGCCCTCCGTCGCACCCTTTCCAAGGCAGCAATGTCCTTCTTAAGGTATGATGACCAAACCTGCACACAATATTCAAGGGGGGTCTTACCAAGGAATTATATAATTGTAGCATCACCTCCCTTGACTTAAACTCCACACACCTAGAGATGTAACCCAACATCCTATTGGCCTTTTTAATTGCTTCCCAACCCTGGCAAGAGTGGGATATGAAAGCATCAACATAGATACCGAGGTCTTTCTCATAATCAGCTACCTTTATTTCAGTAGGTCCCATAAAATACCTGTACTTTATATTTTTGCTCCACGCATGGATTACCTTACATTTGTCTACGTTACATTTCATCTGCCAGCTATCAGCCCAGTCGCTAATTAAACCAAGATTCCGTTGTAGCCTCTGTGCTGCTATTTTTTTATTTGCTACACCACCCACCTTGATGTCTTCTGCAAATTTTACCAGTTTGCTGTATATATTGGTGTCAATGTTGTTAAGGTATATTAGGCATAATAATGGTCTTAAAACTGAACCCTGTGGTACCCCACTATGAACAGAGGCCCACTGAGACATTGTGCCTCTAATACCCACTACTAGACATTTTACACACCGTGGTCTCAGCTTACCAATGGCATCCACCATGCAAGCTTCTCGGGTGTAGGCCTCCACGGGGATGACGTTCTGGAAGCAGTGCAGGGAGATGACCCCTTGGCCTGCCCCCCACACCTGCAGGATGTGCTGCACCTTAGAGCACAGCTTCTACAGAAGGCAAAGGGAGGCAGTCAGACAAACACTACATCCTAATGCAACTATATACAAGAACTCTAAAGGCAACACCTATATATCGACATATGCTAAGGTAAAGAAAGACTTGCTAATGCTTTTGTATGAGATGGTAGTGGTGCTGTGGGGGACAGATCAGATCAGATCAGATCATTTAATCAATTTCTCTGCCACCTATGTAGAGGAAGCTTTGAAGTGGGAACCATCTTCCGGTTCCTATCATCCTAAGGTCTGAGCCCACAGTCCGTGGCCACAAGAAAGTTATCGTCCTGTTCTCTCGTTCTTGCACCCCTTTATGCGCAGCAAAGACACCCCCCCCCAACAGCAAAAATAAAGTTTCATATAATCCAGACAGTCCACGTTTTTGCCCACACTGCCCCCTCCCCACCAGCTCCCTTCCAGACAGTCTTTGTTTTTGCTCCCTCCTAGCTCCTTACTATACAGTCCACATTTGTGCTCCCTCCCAGGTCCCAAGGGATCAAAAACATGGACTTTCTGTGGGTCCCCAAGGACCTCTGAGAAGCACTGCTGTAGTATTCACAGAGTATCTCACCCTTGAGGTTTTGTCCCCTCTGTGATACTCCAGGGCCTCGTAGAGGTGGCTGTATGGACGGGACCGTTTCCCCTTGCCTATGTAGAAGATGGCATTGATGAAGGTGTGGAAACACTCTGCGGGTGTTATGGACGAGCTACGGGATGGCAGGTTCTTCGTCACTCTGCATCAGGAGAAACAAGCATCTCATTAATTTGGATTAAGCTACCAAACTATTGTGGAACTATTCTGAAGAGGAATAAAATCCATGTCTAATTTATCAATATAAGGCAATCTGGCAGCCTGTTGTACCTTGGGTCAAGCAGCAAATAATTAAAGCTCGACTTGGTGATTCCTTCCCGCCACTTCCTGTTCTGGTCAGGTTGGTCAAACTGCTGGCACAGGGCCATCTCCTCAGCCTGGCAGCCTGGCAGAGTGAAGGTCTCCAGGGCATTGGCTAGTTCTACGCTGTAGCCTACAGAGAATGTGGCCAAATACATTAGAAATGACATAGCTCTAAAAAAGGAATGATTAATACTGCTAAATTCAAGGAATGTATTCCTGCCTTTAATCCAATATAGATTCAGTATACTTAATCTGTATGTCTTTTCTACTCATCAGCTATGGGTCATTTCTACACACCTTTTACATTGGATGTTTCTCAATACCAAGACTGCAAAGATTGTACTTATGGTCTTGGTAAGACCAATCTTGCTAACTTGCTTCCCAAGAATGAACTTGAGGAGCAATGAATAATGGGATTGGTCTCGTTTGGTGAGGATTCAACCAATGTATCCTTGATATTTGGGGTGTGGCAAGAACGATATCAGGGGGTTTTTACCGTCGCCTGTACTTCTGCTCTCGACTGCAATTGGTCTTCGCCAATGGAAGATAAAACAGGTGCACAAGTATAGTTAGGTACGCATACTGAGAAACACCCACTGTGTCTGTGACTTTACCTGTGTTATGGGCAACAGGCTGCTGGTTCTTGGACTTCTGAAGCAGATTGTTCAATTTGTTGATGTACGCTGGGCGGGTGAACCGGCTGATGGGTCCTGGCTGCTCTCCTAGTTCCTGCAACCTCCTCCTTAGCTCCCTGTCTGTCAGGCCTGCTGTATCCGGCAGAATCTCCTCCTGGGGCTTCTCGTTCTCCTTTCCTTTCCCAGGACTGAGCTGCAAGGAACGCCAGTCGTACAGCACGGTGTCGTCGCTTGTGGCCAGGCTGGTGTCAGAACTAAGAGTGACATTGGTGCTGGGCGGCACATGGCATTCGATCAGCTCGTGTCCCTTCTCGATATCAGTGTACAGGTACTCGACAGGCTGCTCCTCGCTGGGAATCAGGGGCCGCCCACCTGGGGTGTAAGACAGATCAGCCAGCCTCCGAGGCTTGTGGGAGACCGAGAGCCTACTGATGCTGTACCGCATGGTGCGCCCAGATGCCGGCGTCATGGGTGATGTGCAACAGTACTTAGCTGTTGGTGTGTGTGGTACTAGTTCCAACTGGGAGTCGCCAGTGTCCCCATCATCAGTGATGAAAGACTCTTTGTCCTTAGGCTTGGTACCCCCAGCCTCTTCCAGCGACTCACCCGAGCTCAGCTCCTGCATGAGTCCTTCCCCTTCTGAACTGGACCGATCATCCGTGAGAAACTCAGCCTCATTGATGCCGTGACTATTGAGGAAGCCTAATCTTGTTGCTTGCTCATCTGCCAGGGAGTCTGTTGCACTTTCTCCACAGGTTTTCTCCAGGATGACTGTGTCAGCCGCACTATCAGAGATGATCAGTGTGTCTGCCTGGCTGTCACATGGAAGAGTTCTGGTCTGAGTTTCCTGGAAGCAATGAACCATGGTGTCCATCGTTGTGGTTGCCCGTCTCATTAAATGTGCTGGACTGCTGCACTGGCTATTTGCTGGGATGCTGGGCATCCTCCCACTGTTGGGCGTTCTAGTTTGGCGGAGCTGCTGACGGTTTGGCGTAGGCAAGGAGTCTTCAAAAAGTGAGTGGACTGAGGAATCTGTAATGTAACCACTGGCTCTGGAGGAGCTGCGACTGAGCCTGGAGAGAGTCCTCCCTGTGACAAATGGGCTCAGAGGAAGCAGGCCCCCATCTCCGTCAACACTACATGACTCACGACAGGCTTTCGAAAGATCCATAACTCCTCTCAAAACTTTCCCTTTGTCATCACACGGCCACTCAGGTTCTTCAACTGGGTTGTCTGAACATTCTTTTCTCACATTTTTCAGATCTTCTGCATTACATTTTACTGAAGGGCTCTTAGGAGACAGTACCAGGTCATTAATTAATTGAGGAAGACAGGCAGCTACTTTTGAAGTGCTCTTGCTGGCCTTATTGGGGAGAGCCGTGCCTTTTCCACTTACATCTAAGACACCCTTATACTCTTCTGAATCAACAGTATTCAACGACTTTTCAGTAATAAGCAGTAATTTTGCAGACTGCTCCGTTGCTTCGCACACCTGTATATTTGGGGAGGCCGTTCTTGGAGAACCCCGATCTTGTTGGGACATTGCCCCAGTTTCCCTATCATCATCACTAAAAGATGTGTTCCTGTGAAGGTTGCAAGGCCCCAGAACAGTAGTGTATGGATCACTGTCACAGCTGCTGTATTCACTGGGTCCACTGCTACCACTGGAGCTGCATACAGGTTGAATAGGCCCTTTTATCTTGGCCAAGTCACAATCGTCCCTCTCCTCCTCATCTTTTTCCTCCATTAGCCAGTTTCCAACCACAGTCTTATCCAAATCAGGACTTGCACAGTGTTTGTCTCGGGAAAAGACAAAGACATGATCAGGAGAAGTAACATCAATTCCCTGATTGTGCGAAACAGATGCCAAGCGCTCTAAATTCAGGAATTCTGGGTAGTCTGTGAAGTCAACTGTTGTGTCAGTTGAGGAGTGCTGGCTTTGATTTTCATTCTGCTTGGGTGACTCATCTGTAAACACAGGGAAGTAGTCATCCACGTCTTTAAAACTTACACTTTTGCGGCTGGCGCACCTTGAGGAACAAAGTGGGTCCAGCTGAGGAGGAAGTTCATTTGCTGGTCTTTTGTGTATCACAGGATCGTACTGCAATTTTTGAGAGTAAACAAGTGACTCTTTCTCCTCCACCATGGGCAAGACCCCAAAATAAGACTGCTGACCAGCTGATATTCGAGTGCTGCTGAGTATGGACTGAGCTGCTAGATCCTTGTCAAACTCCCGGTTCCATTCCTGAGTGCGACGCCCCTGAAGATCAGTGAAGTCCAGGAGTCCTGATAGCTGGGACCTGCCTCTCCAGGAGGGTCTGCTATTGATCCTAGCCAGGTTCAGCGAGGAGGATCTCCTGGTGCTGCTGAGTGGCCCCTCACCATAGTCACTCAGCAAGGATAGGTCATGTAATCCAGCACTGCTGTCCACTCTTCCACTGTGAGGAGAAGTATCTCTGCAATCTTGACCACGGTAAAAAGCTACAAAGAAAAGCCAAAGACAGCTTGTTTTGAATACATTGCATCACCATAGATCTCAATTTTCTCAGGATTCCCTCGTAGCTCAAATTAAACTTACAGTACTGGAATTGTGGCAGATCGTCATCATCTGTCCCCAGTGCATCCCAAGACCAATATTCCTTCAGAAGCTGGGCACATTTGTGGTTGTCTTGCTGGTTTGCCAAGTCAGTTGCTGTATTCCCATCCTGCAGGTAAGCAAAGATTAATTCTCTGAATAGCTTCCAAATCTACAAATGAAGCATCAAACAAGGCATGGTGGAACATGACTTAATTGGGTGACATTGTACTTCTTCTTATTGCTCTTATGCATTATCAAGAAATTAACAAGCAGAAAAAAAAAAATCAAGATCAGATATGACCAGCTTACCTGGTCCTTTAAATTAGGATTCCCCCCATTTTGTAAAAGCAGTTTGAGGTTCTGGTAGCAACCCCACAAAGCCGCAATGTGCAAAGGGGTTAAGTCCTCCACAGATCTGACAAAAATGCAAAACCATGAAAAACAGTGATGCCTAAATACAGTCAAATACACTGCTAGATGTGTTAATTTCAGAAGGCAAATGCTAAGCTGTCAGGCGTTTTTTTTCTGTGACGGGTTCTTCTGGCTCACCTGGCGTTGGGATCTGCACCATGCTGAAGCAGCAGCTTCAGGCAACGGATTCGCTTCTCGGTCTCTTTACCAACAGCCAAATGCACGGCGGCGACACCTTTGCGGAGGACGAGGTTCGGATTGGCACCTTGCAAAAGCAGGTCCTCGACAGTCCTAAGTAAAGGGTGACATTGGTTATCGGGGTTCTCCTAGATATAACACATATCATAGGAAGACAATATTATTTATATTACCATGCAACTCAACATGCGGCAGCGTGTTATTACTATCTAATCAGAGAGTTCAGGTGGAACCAGTAGCAGAGAAAACCACCGAAAGATAACCAAATGGTCATCTAAAGTTGTATTTCATGAAGCAATTTACTGCACATGTATACATCCCGTAAGAGTGTTTTGGTCAAGTCTCATCCAGGCCAAAACGACTGCATACCAAAGTATTTAAAACAACAAGTATGAGAATGCATTCATACCTTGGTTCGCCGTCATTAACTGCCTTGCATAGCCGCAATGTTAAGTTCTTTTTATCTGAAAACATAGCTCTTAAGGTACCCGGTTGCTAGTTGGTAGTTTCGCTATTGTTTCATGCGGATAAAGCGGTGGATAGTACATGTGCACTCTGGTTTCGTATTGCAAAGTGCGCAATCCGGTATTTTAATTTATTATCGGGAAAACATCACTACAGACACATTAATACTTATGATATATCCTAAACATATTAAATGCGGTTGTTATTTTTTTCTTCTTTTTCTGTGTTAAAAATCCCTCCAAGTGTATCGCCCGCCTACAGATGACACCGATAGGTCTAATCTGCTGGACGTGTGCGCGGAACCAATCAGCGAATATCTACGTGATGTCGTTTCCGCAGTAAAACGGAGGGCGCTGGAGGCCGTTTGAAAAGATGCGTCTGGCGGAAGCTGCGCGCTGCCGTTCAGTTTGTTTTGGTTCTGTGGTGTTTGCTGTTAACTACTTTGATGTTATTGAGTCCTTTTTTATTAATTGGAATCTCACTATAAATAATTTCTTCTAAATGCTTGCACACTGCCGTGCTACCATGCGCCATGGTTCACAAAATATTCCTTAAATAATTTAAACTGGTCACTTGGTGAATGTCACACGGTGGCTCTGCTGTCTGAAGTAACGTGTTGCTGAGGGGGCGGACTAAGCTTGAGATGTCGTGTCTGCAGTAAACCCATGGATATTTTGTCATACTATATTCTGTCAGTGAAATAATTTCAAAATAAAACTGAAAAACTAAAGCAAAAAACTCGATCGCATCGGCGGCTTAATCTGTTAGCTACGCACAATTTAAACCGAGAATACGCAGTTTAAGGTTCTACCTCGCGGAGATTTAACGTATTTTTTTTTCCACACCACGTTCTCTGGGTTATTAACCTTTAAATAAATCGCGTACAGGCATAGACCCAACCAATCCTTAACGTAGTGGGGCATATCTGGATGATTCCCAATGTAGTAATCACACTAGCGACTAATGAATTCACCCAGTTCCCTCGGTTTGAAAACACAATTAACTATCAATCAATCGAACAACGAAGTTTCATGCATGGTTCAGCAATCAACACGCTCCCGCCACCATGTTTTATGGTTTGATTTAGGCGCTGGGGACTATACTCCTCCTTTGAGTTGCGCCACACTCTCTGATGACTATTTGATCCAAACCTGTTGAATTTGGATTCATCAGACCGTATATCAGATTTCCAGAAGCTGATAGACTTGTCAACATGTTCTGTGGCAAATTTCAGACGTTTCAGTGTGTTCTTTTTACTTATGAATGGCTTCCAAGGAACCTGCCATGCAACCCACATTCGTTCAGCCTGTTCTTTATTGTTTGTGTGCAAATCTGAATTCTAGTAGCCTCCTTGACTTGCTTTGCAATTTGTGTAGCAAACAACTTTCGGTTTTTCATAGCAAGCTCTTTGATGTACCTGTCTGTCCTTGGACTGGTCCTTCTTTTTCTCCTTCTTTCCTGCTGAGTAATGATTTCACCAGTCGTCTTGAATTTCTGAATGATTTAGTTCATGGTAGTGTGCCTCAAGTCTGGTGGAAATTTTTCAAACAAAGACCCTGACTGAAATTTTATGATTCTTTCCCTCAGTGCATTTGGTATTTCACAGTTTTAGCCGTGTTGGGAAACTGAACAAACCCTACAAATGCTTGTGTGGAGAATGACCACCAAGCCTACTTTTAGAAACTAGCCACCCATTTACCTGCCTATTCGGGACACCTGCTGTTACGTGTCATGTTAAATGATCTCTGTTACGGCTGGGAACTCCTCCCGTTGTCACATTCCTCTAACCCTATGAATGGGCAGGTGTACATATAATTATTTGAAGGCAATAAATTACATAATTTGAAAATGATTCCAGAATGTTTTGCATAAATGTTTTTGTTTCTTTATATACACACAAAATTGTAACATTTTAGTTCTTAGCTTGTTCTTCAATATCCTCGATTTCATTTCCATTTTTGACCATTTCATAATGTACAAATAGTTTTTGGCTACACTGTATATTTTCTATTTTACAGATGTTAATGCCGCGACCCCAGAGACAGCATCCCAGTGAAGTACATCTGTCATCAAGTATAAGAAAGCTTCAATTTAGGCAATTTCAGCAACAGCTTTATATTTTTATACATTTATAATGATCAATGGTCAATATCAAATCATTCAAAGAAATTATGCAAAATAACTTCCATTCCATTTATCCCACACATGGTGTCAGAGAGCCTAAGAGCTACCCCAGGAAACCCAGGGTGTCTCCTTGGATGTGGTGCCAGTTCTTAGCAGAACAGACACACATTTGATGGACAATTTAGAGACATCAGTTTTCCTAACTACATATTTTTTTGATTGGAAGGAAATAGACTTTCTGACCAACATGCTCCAGACTGTAAGGATCGATGTGCCACACTTCACATACCTTAACACCAGTGTTTATCAACCCGATTCTCTGGGACCTCCAGAAAGTCCACGTTTTTGCTCCCTCCCAGTGCCTGATTGACTGTCTGTGAGTCCCCAATGACCAGTTTGAGAAACACTGAACTGGGCTTCACAGGGTTATGCTTAGGTTAGGTTCTGTATTTCCTTTTTGCCAATAGTTGGTCTCTCCTCTGTGTGCATTTCTGTTTGCAGTGCAGTGGATCAACAGCTATAACTTCCTAGAAGTATATCTCAGTGAAGACTTGCACCAGAATGCAGTTTTACATGGTACAACAGCTGCTTTTTTTTATAATTTGTTAAATTAACTAATGCCTCGATATGGCAAATATCAAATTCTCACACAAATATCATGTTATCCAGTGCCACTGCAAACATAGCCTGCATGTTTGACCCAAATTTGGCCTAACTGGTTTGCACATGGACTGCATAGTATTTGCCCATCTGCAACATGCATTAGCAAGTATCTTCTTGCCCTGTGGCAGACTAACCAAGCAGCAAGTGTAAGTTAGTCTGTCAATGCAAAAACACTAGTTTCGACTAACAATAAGAACATTTATGGTCATATTTTTAGAACTTGAATTATCCACTTTTGACAGAACTGGTAGCATTTATTGCAGAAAGAGACATCATAGGAGTTAAGCAATGTTTAAACATTTATGGATTGCTGACTGCATTACCTGTATCTCCCAGTCAACAGTTCACCAGTCATTCCTGATATTTCAGATGCTCCATAGCATGAAACACATGTAAGATGTTTGCAGTCTTCCTTGTCCAACAAGATTATTCATTGTTCTTATGGTTCAGTTTTAGGTGATCATATCTCCCTAATATAGTCATCATTCAAATGGCAGTTAAAATATATTTGGCATTTGTAATTTAAGTGAAATGGCATCATGAAGTTTTCAACCCTTTGTTCTGAAGCCTGTTTTACAGCCTGGAAAGAGGCAGGTGTAGACTCAAATGCATGCTGGATACACCTGGTTTTCTTCATTTGGGTTGGATTTCAGTGCAATCGTGAATAAACCAAAATCAATTGAAGACAAAAATACTAACTTAAGAATTGTGTATATTATGTGTAATTTTTAAGTCGATGTGGAATGTGAATGAAGGCTATTCCTGTGTGGTACAAACCAATAGATGGGCTACTGCGGAACAAATCAAAGGTTCTAATAAGTCCCTTAAGTGATGTCACGACACACGGCATCAGGTCCGAATGTGTGCAGCTGAAGTGCCAATGCTGACCACCAGCCAGCGTCAGGGGCACCAGACCACCGGAACTGGACCTTGCCACCATGGGAGGGCAGCTGGGTTGGTGTCTTTCTGTTGTCATGTGGACTGCCGGGTCGGTCACGTCAGGGCCCCACCCATTCCAGGCCACATAGGTTAATGAACACAGACCTATACCACAAACCAAGCAGAGAAGCTGCTGTGCAGCTGATCGGACATCAGGACTGATCTCAGGGTAAAAGGGACACACAAGATTCCCCACGACTGACCTGATGACCCGTGAAGCATATCAACAGCTTAAGGAGTGTGAGACAGCCAGTTATTCCAGATTATTTCCAGTATGATGGATATCTTTTAAATGGCTACTCTACACAAGACTATACAAGGTTAACAGGCAAAAAAAAAACCTTCATTTCAAGAAAACCAGGAGATTTAATAAGTAAAACATTTATTGTATTATGTTGTACAAAAATGTCAATATAAATGTAAATAACTCACGGGGGGAAACACTTTTGGCATGCATTCCTACAGTTCCCCTATATAATGATAAAGTTTAGGTTTTTCCCCTTAAAAGCTGAATTCGAAAATTTATTCACAATTTTTTCATGGCTTGAGTAAACATGAAACATCACATTATTGCGCATCATTTTGTGCATTTCAGAGTATGAAATTGCAATCTCCTTACAGTAAGTTATGATTCAGTATGCTATCAAATATTCAGATCTGGATTTTTACAGACTGTGCTGACAACTTGATTCCCAGAACACATTGTCACATTATATTTTGAGAAACCTGAACAGAAATCTGGCAGTGTAAAATACTTTAAACCAGTGCATGTTAAAAAATAAAAGCTCATTTTAAAAACTCTTATTAAAATGTGCCAGTGGTTGGCAGACTGCTGCTGAATGTTCTGTACAGATCACTTAAAGCAGTGTACAACAATCACAGTTAGCGAAGTCGTTTCCAAACGACATCCTGCTGAGTGATCTGATATCCTCAGAACCAAATACTTATGCTACTAAAATTTTCTACCAGTGTAATCAGCTTCAGTTTTCCAACACTTTTCAGAAATGCCAAAATGCTGTGCTAACGAGATCAATTCCTTTGAGCACATCACTCTATCTAAGCTATTTAAGTCAATCTGCATGTTTAACCTAAACTTTACCATCTTTAAACAAACATTTGATACAAGCATGATTACTAGGTGAGTGATATATAATCATTCAATAAAAAAATATGTTTTGCAGGGCACTGCATTTGAAGGAAAAAAAAATTGTTTCCCAGGCAAACAATCTGTATTAAATAGCTGTGTGGAGACAACACAGGGGTTTTAAGCTTATTTTGCACTCGAGTGCAATGGCAAACATGTGGATCAACTCCGCATTTCCTTTCACCAATCCAGCCCCACCAACAAAGATGCCGTTATCCTGGCTTAGAATGCCAAATGTTGGCGATATAACAGACGAGGCTCCTTAGTTTTCAGATCCTGAGACAGATCTCCTGATTTTGTTTCTGAAATCCAATTGTCTACAGAGACCTCTGAAGTCACTGTAATTCGGCACCATACGGTTGCCTAAAGAATGGCGGACAACGCATTTGCACCAGTGAGTTGACTGGTGTCAGGGCTGATTTAAAACATGCATCCGTCTGTAGACAATGCAGACAACTATGCCATGAACACAGTACAAAGTTCGATCAGCTGAATACTGCACATTAAGACACGGGAGTATTAATTTCTTTTAAGATGTCAATACTCTATCACAACCAAATAGTACATTCAGTGGTACGACGACATCATTTTATAGCTGTAGAACCCTTGTCGATAACCACATTTACTTTTAAAAAAATATTTGCATGTATCTGAGAAACAATTTTACACTTATAAAAAGGTATATAAATTCAACATGGATTATTGCGACCAACAGTAAGCATTAATATGAACAAGGTGGACGTACATTATATTTCTTCCCCCATATATGTACAAATACCAAGGTAAATAACAAGGTTATCACCAAGTAAGTGTTGCACACAGCATATGCCTTGTCAATAAGGTCATACAATCATGATGCCACTGACCTTTCAGGCTGGAAAGTGGGGGAGAGTAAATCATGGACGGCTTCAGGTCTGGCCTTAATCCCTGAAGGTTTTTCTTATAATCACTTTTATCCACTGTATCATGATGTGAGTGTTTCTGGGCCAAGCCCTCGATGCCCGCTAAGCCCAGCACTGCTCCAGCGAAATGCATGACTAAAATCTAGTGTGAACCGATTGTATAGATCTTTCTCAATACAATTTCTTGGGTCGACAGGGTCAAAAATGACAACCTTGTTAATAAAACTGACAGTGAGCCAACCGAAGGGAATTGACCACGTAGTGCCGCAGAAATCGTTTCAAGTCACCGCTTAATCCTGGGCATTTCTGTCAGCCAATAACACTCTTCCTGGAGAATCAGCATTTACTAAACTACTGCTCACCCCAATTTAAATTTTTTCACGATGTGACAATTATACCCACAACCTTGCATTCAACCATGGCTAACCACTGATCAAACTGACCATCACTCCTGCAAATTCCACCCTGTTTTCCTCTGCAAAGCTAAATATAGTGTCAGTTACTACCTACATGAGTGAAATCATGCCAGTTTAAAATCTGTCACTATCAACTATCAGTATGGATGCCAGCAGATAGAATCATTATCTGATTCTAAATACTGAAATCATTATCATCATTTCCTGATTTCTGCCCTCAGACCATTTCCGGGCAGGTAAGGCATATATATGCCTCTACTAAAATTAACTATTAACAATGGAAGCAGCAGATGGGAAAAAACAGCTATTAAAATATTTTTGAGCCAGTTTCCTTTTAGTCTCAGTGGTAAAAATCTCTAACTCAGGGTCTCCCTGTTCATCAATCTAACAGTGCACCAGACCTGCTCCCAAAGGCTTTCAATTAATCATAAAAACCATTCAAATGCCTCATTGATAAGCAAGGCAACCATAATGAAATAAGTACAGTGTACAGTGGCAGTTTTAAGATAAGTTCACCAACCCCATCTCTATCCAACTTTGGGTAGCATGGGGGACCCCACTATTTCTATAATATTTTTGGGAACAATCTTAAAACTTTATAAGTTTAAGATAGTTATATGTAATTAATGTAATAACTATGCATGATTCATTACAAAAATGAACTCCATTTCAAAACATATGAGGCTGACTGGTTTGGAAACTAAGAAAAAATTAACAAGACGGAAATATACAAAAATATTTAAGTTGCTGTAGGGGGGGGCGGGACTGAATTCTTCACATAATTAAACATTCCCTGGATGAAGGCTTTGGGTCTCCCTAGAATGAAAGGGAAAGTAAGATCTTTGTAAAAACACCTTCCACCAAATAAAGTTCAAAAGATTTTACTGCAAACATGGATCATGTACCTGTTGATGGAAAAGATCTTCTTCACCAAAGTCAGCATCCTCATCATCTTCATTCTCCACATGTACTATGATCTTGGTGACCGTTCTCTTGGCCACCTCCTGAGCAGATGCAGAAACTGCATTAATATTGTCAGGGCAGAAAACTAACAGGTACCAAAAAGACAGAGTAATGAGAGATTTCTCAGCGCTCGCTGCAGCGAGAGCCACGCGAGGAGGAGACACACCTCGCCATTTGAGTTCACCAAGAAGGTGACAATGTCGTCCCCAGTGCCCCAGGAACCCTGGCTTTTCCAGAGCAGGTCAGTGGGTGGACTGTGAGATACTCCAGCATCAGCACTCCAGATCTACACAGGAATGCAAACAATTCAGATGGATCACAATCCCAATCTTTTCTATCTAAGCTGATTTATTAAAAAAGAAACAACTCCTTACTGTGACAGTCTGCCCTGCTTTGAGGACATATTTTGGTGTAAATTTGTAGGTTATTTCATCCCCGTCTCCAATTTTCCTTTTCAGTCTCCAGCTGCCAAGTGATTGATCCTGCGCAAAAATGACAGTGTGACAAGTGCCGCAGATCATCACCTAATTCACACTTCATTAAGGCCATGAGCTAAAACTCAAGCGGCAGGTATGGTCTCTGGCACCGTGTACCTTTTCAGAGACATTTCTGAGGGTGACACTCTTGCCCTCTAGGTCTATCTCCTCGATGGTGATGCTGCCTGTGGCCTCGGCTTCTTGGTTAATGTGGACCTTAGGCTGACTTCCTGACGACAGCTCGACTCGCTTTCTCTTGGCGCGAGACGAGCGCGTAGAGCTGCTGCTGGTGGTAGCAGCGCGAGACACTGTCACCCGGGAAGATGGGCTGGGAGACAGTTTTAACCTGGTGGAGATAAGATTAAGCGTTCAAACCAGCACAGGTTTTATAGTGTTGCTACCCAACTGTGGTTTAAAACAACCTATTACAGCCGTGTAAAGACCAGAACTGTAAGGTCTTCCGTAAAGAGCGATGCTTTGGCAGAGGCCTACGCTAAACACAACCACATATGGTGTAAACGTTACAGAGCAGTCCACGTAAACGTGTGGCCAGCTTCACATGACAGGCGAGATGCGCATTAGTTACAAACTGCTAGAGAAAGGTGTCACTAGTTCTCATATCTATCTCCACCGAAATAGAGAGAATAAACCCTTCTAATCAGCCACTGTGGAGCTCTGTTAGCAGCAAGAGGCAGCAGAAAGCTGACCTATCTTCCTCTCCCTCCAGCAGCTTCCTGTAGGCGTTGATCTCCATGTCCAGGGCCAGCTTGACGTCCAGCAGCTCTTGGTACTCGTTCAGCTGCTGCTGCATGCACTCCCTCATCTCTGCCATCTCGCGCTCCTTGGCGTCCAGCTGACGCCGATGCTTCTCCCGATCGCTGGCCAGGATTTCCTCCAGCTCGCGGATGCGCTCCTCAGCTGCGCTGGCCTGTGCAGCGGCAGATAAAAGCCCAAGGTGATGCTGCCAGCGTCACTGGTGCTTAGCAGCCATACATAAATACAGAGAAATATAAAGGATACCATATGCACACATGGGCCTAAAGAACAGCTTAAAGTTTGACATAAGCATACACACCAAGCCAAATGTTTGCTTAAAGTACAATGAACACTTCAGTAAGTTACTGCTACAGCATTAAATGGACGTAGATTCCTGGTTAGTATAACGTGATAAAGCTGAACAGACACCTGTTTCTGCAGGGCAGAGAGTTGGTAGCCCAGGCTTTCAATCCTCATGCGTGACTCCTGCAGCTCCTCTCGAGCTGCGTTTACAGCCTGGTCATTGAGATCAGATGACACTTTGGCGTGATCCAGCTGCAAGCCGGGAAGGAGAGCAGGAGGGAATCACCCAACAGTCACACGCAGTGAATTATCACCCTTAAGTATAACTGATGAGAGCTGAAACCTCTAAATATTTCATTTAGATTTTACATTTTTACTTCAAACGCTGATACTACATGCAAGTGCCAGAATTCTTTAAAGCATGTCTAATTGTCATGGTATTACACGTAACAATATCTAATGTCACACGAGTAACTTGCCAAAGAACTCAGTTCTCGTGATGTACTCATTGTAAGAAAATATTCGTACAACCATAGATGCTTAAATTAAATGTATTCATCGGGCCGCACAATTTAATCGACCACCCCAAACTATGCTCTACTAACTTGGCCGCATAACTCCTAATAAACTGCAATGCACAATGACGGAGGACTAACGTCAAGAGGTATGTGTACAGCTCTACTGTGTCCTGTAGTAAAGTACTGCATATACACTCCAAATCAAGCGCAAGCAGCCATCGGCCTCCCGTAAGCCTCAGCGCCTTGTGACTGGTGCCCATACCTTGGCCCTAAACGTGTGCTCCAGCTCCGTCCTGTAGACGGCCACCTGCTCCTCATGCTGCCTGCGCAGATCCTGCAGTGCCTGTGCCAGTTTGTAGTCGTAGTCCTGCTTGGTCCCGCTGTCCACCTCCACCATCCGCTTCTCGCGACGCCGGCGAGTCTCACGCACCTCCTGCGAACGGAACGCAGCTACCAAATCACCATTTCCGTTTCCCACAAATTCAATTATTTAAGGCTACATAATTAATCAAGTCCGTTTAGGTACACTTCATCTTAACTAAAGCGCTGATCATCCATCCATTCATGCAAGCCAGGGGCACAACAACAAGTTTACACTTGCCTTGAACATAAATAAATTTGAAGCAAAATCTGTACTTCATTTAGTTACAGAACCCTATTATTACAACTGTGGGATGAAAGGCAGCGGCATTAAATTCAAGGGTATCTGGAGAGTAGAACAGATGAAGTACTTCTGGAAAACCTTTAGGAACTGATGAATCAGTTTTGGAAAAACTTCAGGAAGGGGCATACGGCAAAAAAAGTTTGGGACACTTGAATGGACCAGAATCCACACAATAGGAAAAAACAAATTGATGGGTGTAAAAGGGAGCACAAGAAATCAAAATAGGCCAGTCAAAGCAAACCTCATCAAACATGCTCTTCCTGAACTCCAGCTCCTCCGACAGGCTCTGACAGCGGTTCTCCAAATCCACTCTCTGTAAAGTTTCTGATTCCAGCTGCTTCTTAGCAACTGCATGGGCATCTTCAGCCTGGGTTTGAAAAAGACAGTTTTAAAAAAACCTATAGAATTTCACCTTTAAGACTTAAATAATGCAGGTAAAATACAGAACGTGCTGACTATATGAAATAAATATTTGCGTTAGAGCAACCATTCAGGTTACAGCATCAGTCCATATTTTCCCACAGTAAATATGTGATTACTCGTACCCTTTGTCCAAAGTTTGGCAGGTTATTGAGTTTCTGAGAATTATGCAGTGTGCAACAAGACTACCAAAGGCAAATGCCTTTCCCTCTGCCTTAGTGGAGTGGTCTCCATGTGGCAACAGGCCAAATATTGCACTAAAGGAGATGCGCATTATAGGCTGACCAGAGGGATGACAGAGTTGAATACAGGAGGCCAGAAATTGACTAAAAATACGTCCAAAATACGTGCCAACTAGGCAAGACTTACACATAGGACATACTGGTTTACTGGATGGATATATTTTAGCCAATTTGTCATTTGAATAATGGACCGTATGAAAATTTTTACACTGAATCAATCCACGATGTATGTATGTATTTTAGAAACACAGTCATCCCAGGTCTGAAATAGTCTCCCCAAATTCTTTGCCCCAGACCTATTTTACAGTCATGCAGTTTCGTGGATAGAATAACACCTTTGACTAAACTTGGGGCAGCTACGTTGTAAAAGGCATTATATAAACAAAGTAAAATTCGCAGCTTACTAAAATAGAGGATTTACAAGCCATGTCAAACTATTGGTAAAACCTCACCCTGAGACTCTCAAATATGATTAAACAATCAGCATTTTACCAGATGGCCCACAGTGGAGACAGAGCAACAAACCTTAGAGAGCTGGGCTTTCAGGTCGGCAAGCTCAGCGCCGAGAGACGCGTTCTCACTCATGGCGGCGCTGAGCGCCGCTTCGCTCCTGATGTGCAGTGAATCCAGCTCCTTAATGCGGGCCAGAGCCGACACCAGATCCCCATCCTTCTTTTTAAAACTGGAAGAGGAGGATAAACAGGCAACTAGAGTGAAGGACACCTTCAAAGTCCATGCTTAGGAAGTGGAGGTGCCACAACACATACAAGTCTAAACAGTACAGTACCATATATTTTACCATATATCATATACAAGTTAAAAACTGCAGATTATATCACTGCATACCACATCAATGCGTGGGAAATCAAAAAATGTGAAAATGTATGCTACATTAGAAGTTTTAACTTCAGTGCCATTGCATTAATTTCTGCAAGCATTCGTCATCAGAGCTGCATTCTTAGCTGCACTTCCTGTCTGAGTATGTTTCTAAGCAACAGAGTAAATAGTGCCAAACAGAGATATCATGGTCTCTATATGCATCATTGTTTTAACAGCTATTCTTCACTAGAATCCAACAGTTTGTTTTAACCACAATTTGCTTTATTTAAATAATAGCAACCATTTACTTTGAATTGCTGTTTTGTGATGACAGAACGCACCTGCATTAGTACTAAGACAGAACACCCAAACCAGACTCACCTTTGGGTGGCTGTAACCTGCTTATTGCTCAATAAAAAATATGAAAAATGGAATGCTACATTCTTATCTTTGATCAAATAAACTGCATTCCAACAAACTTTTGACCACCTGTTCCAGAACAGAGCTGGTTTCTCTCATCCTATGTCGACTGAGCTTTAGTTACCATAGCTATGCAGAAGTACTATGGAGTTCTGTTTTGCCCCAGAAGTCCACACCCCTAATGTTAAACTACATGCTGTGCCAAATAAGTTGTGACTGAGCAAGGACATGACACATGACCAGGCAGCAGTGAAGACCCAGGACAGTCCTGGCCGTCTCACGCACACATTGCCACAAAAGGCGGTACGACCACATACGAAGACTCACTTCTTGGTGACCTCCTCAAGCTCGGCGTTGGCTTTGCCAAGATCGATCTGCAGCCGGGCTCTCTCACGAGCCGTTTCATCCAGGACACGCCGAGCATCTGCCAGCTCTGCTTCATACAAGGTCTTGATGCCGGTAACCTGAAGGGATCAGGGTTTGTCTAAACATAACAAAATTCCCAATATGATACCACCCCTTATTCAACACAGAATAGCCAGGAAATGGTCATCCAGGCATTTCAACTGTGAAAGGAAGAATACTGTACAATAGATGATAGTGTCTGTTATATGGGTGCCCCATTACTAGACTGGAGTCTACAGTAACGACAATGATATCCAAAAGATCTGATTTATATACCCTCTCCTGCTTTCCAAGGACATGCATATGATTTGTGCATATATTAAATTGGAAACCTTTCAAAATTTACTCCACCAAACGCAATCGCCAACTAGGCTCAATGTGCAAAACATCTACTTTAAAAATAAAACAAAAACTCTTCATTCCTTAAAGCCACCGTTGGACCCCGCCTTTTCGCCACTCCATATATGATACAGTTCACACATGCCTTATTCGACTGTGTGGAACTGTTGGAAAACGGGCTGGGTCTGTTTTACAGCTTGGCGTCCACCCAGAATCCGATTCTGAGCGCCAGCAATGAGGATCCCTTAAGTTTTGGCATACCACTGCATCTTATAATTAGGACCATCACATGTGTTTTAAAAAAATACACGGAGGATACTAAAAACGGACAGTTTACAAAAAAAAATAAAAAATCGGCCACTAAGACGAAGAAACACTCCGTCGTTAAATAGTGTAGTCAAAAACAATCCGTGCGGCATGCAAAAGCAGAGCTCTGAGCGGGAAGGCGGGTCTCACACAAACACGCATCTGCGCCGCAGATTTTCATACAAATGAACGGATCCCACCCTCACCCACCCCACACACCAAACCGGGAAAACCCGAAAAGGTCCAACGCAGACCCCCATAACGTGAACGGACGAGGGTAAACGGTTTAGGTGTGACTGGGAACTAAGTTTTGGTTTGACTCAGCCGCAAAAAAAAGACACGCATATGAGGAAGTCACAAGAATCTTCCAGATTCCAGACAGCGCATAAATTTCTATCAGACGGTCCACACAGATGTGAGCAAGATGCATAATCAGTTACATGGCAAAAGATAGGCAATGGACCGCGGTAAGCACGATTAGGCGGCCGGGTGCACTAACATGAAAACGAGTTTTCGAGCTGCCAGTCGCTATCTTAACGAGCTGGCCGGCAAAACCACCAACAAATCCCACTTAAAGCAAATCGAGTAATCAAGCGGCCTGCGAGAGGATCGCGAAAGATTCATTACATTGGCAGAAAAGTACCGCTCAGGACCGACGGCCGCCGGCCAGCCATGTGCCGACAACCTGGTACTGCGTGATAATGGATAACGACCAGAAAGTTAGCCGGCACCATTATATCGTTCCGTTTTTTTAATTAATTCAGTTGAAAATGTACCGTAAATATACATTAAGTTAACACTGACGGATAGAGCAGCACGCGACGCCGCGTTAGGAAGTAAAGACACTAACCTCCCGAGTGGTGACCTCCTCCTTCTCCGACACCTTTACCATCAGCCGGTCATTCTCCAGCTCCAGCGCCCGCACACGGTCGATGTAGACGGCCAGCCTGTCGTTCAGGTGCCGCAGTTCCTCCTTTTCCTGCAACCGTGAGATGCGCGTCGGGGACAGCGGAGTGCTAGCCGACCGAGCGCTTTCGGTAGCCGTGCGGCTGGGGGTTGCAGTCGCCATCTCAAGTACAAAAAAATCGTTCAAAACTACACTTCTGAGCCGCCGCAGCGTTTCTGAATTGCCAATGCAAAATGGCAATTAACGAAGGTTATGTAATATGTATATATAGAATGGCTTTTCTAGAAAATCTAATTCATTCGCCAGAAACCTATATACTAAGCAGTTAGGATTCTACTCCAGCGCCGCGCACAAACCAGCCACTTTCTTTGAAAGAGCTGGCAGGGGCAAGATGGCCGACGCGCACGCAAACCGCGCCAAAATGCACGTTACGCATATCCCTGGTAGTTGTAGTTTTAACGTGCAGAATTTTAAATGTCAATAAAGTTTGTGCATAGGGAGGCCTACCGCAATATTTTGATTATATGGCTCAGAAAACAATTTTGAGAGAATTTTGTTATGAATTGTGGATGAATTCCCTTTCAGTTTAACCATTTCACAACAAAATCAAATGTAAAAAAATATCCTCATGTATAATCACAAAATAAATATTATCATTCATAATATAAGCATAGCTAACAATTTCACTATGGACATGTGCAGTAAGGAATTTTCTTTCTAAGATATTTGTATGCCTGTAATGTTACTTCTTTCTAGAAGGTATCCTGGAGTTAAAACATTCATATTAATGTCCTTTCACCATACGAGCTTCTTGCTCATTTCATTTTTAAACATTTATTTATTTGTTTATTTGTTTCTTTGTAAGAAATGTCACTACAGTGAATAGTGCTGAAACAGCATATGATGAAATATGTTTACCAGCACAAGATCATGGTGTTCCCATCCCAGACAGCATAGGGAAGAAGCACAGTTACTCACACCTGGGTGGAGTAGACGCCAACCACCCAGCTCACGCCCTCTACACACCCCTGAAGGGATGTGTTCCACTAAGCAGGATTTCTCTGATAGCTGGGTCAACTTAACAAGTCATGATCGTCCAATGAGAGTTTAAGTAAGGAGCATTCCTATTGGACAATTATGACTTCTAGCTTAAGTAAACCTAGCTGACTGAGAAATCCTACTTTGTGTAACACCGCCCTGCCCTCTGGAAAATGCTGCAGGTGCATCACCACATGTGCCACTGACTTCAGAGACTTTGCTCAAGTCATCAGGTCACAAAACCGGTGACCCGCACCTGTCCATCACGTATTACGCTACTCTATTGTCAACGTACTTTTTCAACACTTTTATATCAGGGGTCACCAACCTTTTTGAAACTGAGAGCTACTTCATAAACATGTTAAATGCTTTTTTTAGATATTGCCTTTTTCAAATCTATATAAATGCAAATGTGATTAAAGAAGAATAGCAACAGGATAAAATTTAATTTTAGATGCTGCTCACTGGTGAGTTGTGCTATTTTTAGAACAGGTCTTTGGGCGACTCATGTGGTCCTTGGGGGCATCCTGGTGCCCGCGGGCACCATGTTGGTGACCCCTGCTTTACAGTATTTTTCTTAGTTTTTTTATTTACCGCAATGTATTTTTGCACTTGCAGTTGTTTTTTTTCTTTTTCAAATACACGTGGCAATAAAACTTGAAACTATATATGGGGCAATACGGCGAAAGTACCAAGTACGTTTCTAAGGTGAAAAGGTTGTTTTCGGAACAGACATAAATTTTTAGGTCATCTTGGCCGACGGAGGGCGCTATTTATGTTTTCTACATTTTTCATCCTCTATGCTTTGGTTACCCAGAATCCTCCGCTGAAACGGTCTTTCCGGTGAGGTCGCCATTAGTGAAAGCAGGTAAGGAAATGATTGCTGAGTTACAATCTTATAAAAATCAAAAGCATCCTCTTTAGTTTGTGCTGTTTAACAGTATGATTGTACCACGCAACTTATATTATTGGTAATAAGGAATATAGTTCACGTGTAACGTATGTTTTATTTTTTGTTTGAAATATCAAGCTTGTCTCCGGGTGCCGTTTAGATGGGCAGTACACCTTCGGCTTTGAGCAGCAAAAGAGATGGGTTTCAGATGTATAATTTTAGATAGATTCTATTCATATTCCTAAGTAAAATATGTATATTGATTTACATGTGTATTACATTGACAGAGTTGTATCCGTGATTGCAGCCGTGCTTTGCAAACATGTTGAGGTAACAGATTGTGTGTTTTTCCTCATGTTTAGAAATGGCAATCCGATATCCTATGGCCGTGGGCCTTAATAAAGGCCACCCTGTCACCAAAAACGTTTCCAAACCCAGACACAGTCGTAGGAGAGGGGTGAGTAACTGTTTTTGTAGTTTTTCGGTTTGGAATTAAGTCTAAACAAAGTACGATCGAGATGGTGATCTGAGAAACGCGAAGCACGTGAATCAAAAACCTTTAGCTGCTTAATTCTGCGGATATACTCGGGATATAGTATTTACAAATGGTGCCGTTTGGAGGCTAGCAACCAGAGACACATGTTCCCAGAAGTGCCTCATCAGAAATCGCCGTAATTATTGTATGACGTGTGACGCAGATGGTTATAGAGGCTCTATTTATTTTTCCAGCAACTGACCAAGCACACCAAGTTCGTGCGCGACATGATTCGAGAGGTGTGCGGCTTTGCTCCCTACGAGAGGCGCGCCATGGAGCTGCTGAAGGTGTCCAAAGACAAGCGTGCGCTCAAGTTCATCAAGAAGAGGGTATGTACTGTTGAAAAGAGTCTTCTGGTCTAGACTGTTTTCTGTGTGGTCAGTCCTGTTGCTTGTGGATGTTAACTATCAAAGGCTGCTGGCCTTTGGTTATGGCGACTTTGTTCCATGCACGGAGCTGTCAGGTGAGACTGAGGTGTGTTTTTCACTCATCAGGTGGGAACTCACATCCGCGCTAAAAGAAAGCGAGAGGAGCTCAGCAACGTCTTGGCTGCCATGCGCAAGGCAGCAGCCAAGAAGGAATAAGCAGCCGCTGTCTGTCGGTCTTTCAAATAAATCTTTGTAAGTCGTGACATCTGCTGTAGTCTGTTTTGTTGTGTGTGCGATTCCTCTCAGCTGGGCGTCATTATTGGGCTGTTCTAAGAGTGGTGCCTTAACGGTAGTAGGTCCTTGCATTAATTTTGCTCACAGTGCTTGCTTTATGATGTGAATCACATGGAATCTTGTAGTGGAACCTGCAGGATCCAGTGGGGGGGGGAAGTCTGGGGCCTGTGTCAGCCAGTACAGAGCACTGCCTACAAAGGTACCCTTGGATGGCATGCCAGTATATAGCAAGGCACGCACCCACAAATCAGAAAGTTATCCTAACTGCATGAATTTGGACCCAGGGAGGAATGCCAGTACCATAAGGTGCGCTTTAATGAATTTACTACAAAAAATTTAGAATTTGGACTATAATAGACCTGTATTTTATCTGTTTTGTTTACAGAAGTGTATGTTCAAAGGAACCTCTTGATTATGAAGTTTAAAGTAGGAGTGGTTTGGTAGGTTGATTAGCACTGTAGCCTCATGCCTACCTGTGTGCGAGAATGAAGTTTGCATATTGTGTATGAATGGTATTCTCTGCAATCCAGAAATGCAGTTAATTGCATAGATATTTCTGCATGCCCAGGGAAAGTGTGTGATTGTGTGCACCTTGTGATTGGCTGGCCTTCCATCCAGTGTGCTCCTCTGCCTTGTGATTGGCTGGCCTCCCAGGCCTAGGCTCCGGGTTTACTCTGACCCTATGCTGGATAACAGTTTATGAAAGATGAAAATAGTTTCACATCTGTGTTTTATTCTTTTGGTGAAGCTATCATTGAACTAAATCACACACCTTAATAGACATTAAGATGCAAAGTAGGTGTGAAAGAAGATACTCATGATACAATCATGAGTAATTGAAATACTTAAGGGTGGAGTTTGCCTCAACTCGAATCTGGTGAATTGATGTCACAGAATATTAGTATTCTTTTGTGATGCATCACACTTAAGGTGCCTGAACTGTATTGTATGCTAAGTGTGCAGATCAGTGCACAAAAACAGTCGTCTGGTGTTTCTCAACCCTTGCAATTAATTAGGCGGGATTGAGCAATTCCACCCATCAATTCCTACAGCTAATCCTGGTAAGTGTGAGGAGTCTATCCCAGGCAGCCGAGGTACATGTGGGATGGGATTAAGCTGTTTTAAGGTTTTGATTTTACAATCTAACGTTTTGACTGTGTTAATTTGGAGCCTTGCTGCAATTCCCATTTATTCGAGTATCTTAGGAATCCTTATAAATTCTGAATGAAAAAAACTGTACAAGGGTTAATAATTATTTTGTAAACTGGAAGAGCAGGGGTTGTTATTACAGTGCAACATTGTCTAATAGGGGGGCAGCATAATGTTGCCTCACCTTCAGAAGTGTAACTTGGAATCAAGCCCTTTCTGCACGTGGAATTTCACACAAGAACCACAGCCGCTCCTTACAGCAGCTGCTTACCACTATGGTTTGGGACTGGGAACCGTCAACAAATGCCCATTTGACTTTGCTGGGCTTTAAAATAATTGTGCAGACTGTGATGTCATTGCATTCTTCTCTCACAGCCAACGCGAACCTTGACTTAACTCTGCAGCACATGAACCTCTCCCTTTGTGAAGTTAAGGTTATTACTTCCTTACCGTACATCATTTGTGTGGCTTAGCAAAGAGATGTGATAGCATCACAGATTTATTAAGAAGAAGAAAAAAAACAGGAAATTAGGATAATTCCACTCTGGGTAAGAAGGGAATCCCCTATATGCTGGGGGAGTTCCCTTTCTGTAATTTCCGCCAAGTTTTGTCTCAAGGGAAGAAAATGCAGGACAATGACATAATGACAGCACTGCGACATTTTTATTAAAGCCAGTAAATCATCAGTTTAAACCTTATCGCATGCCTCTAACATCTTTAGAGATCATCCAACAGTGTTTCAGCAGCAGAGTCTCATTTAATATATAAACTGGAATGTAAAAAAGTTAACAGCCTTGTTTCAGTTAAGTGAAAGATACACTAAATCCTTTTGAGGGTTCCTGGGTGCTTCAGTCGGCAGTCACACTCTCTCCAAGCAACTACAGTGCAGGTGAGTTAGCATCACTGAGCAATGGGGTTCAGCACTTGTCTCTGTGTCCCCCCCCCCCTGGGGCTGCATGAGCCAATTTCTCTACTTCTGAAGCAACCAGGAGCAGGGGGCAAAATCTAAGGAAACTCATCCCAAAACTAGCTAAAGCCTTTTACATTCAACTTCCCACCTCTGTAACCTTGCGCGAGTCTGTGTAGCATCATTGACTGAATTAAGGCAAGCAAATGGCAATAAGTGACTTGTTTTGAATAATGAGTCATTTTTAAGTGTTGCGTTCAAGTGCTACTGTAACCATTTGGACAGCGCTTATTTTCCAAGTGTAATCCATCACTTTATTCCCAGCTAAGTATAAGGCAAGACTAAAAATATTTCTTACAATAATTCTAAGAAAATCAGCATTCTTTTTCAATTTGCCCAGTCTTTGGTGTTCAATGCAAAAAGTGTCAATTTCAGTAACGGATTTCACAAGCAACTTTTTGACCTGGTATTTGTACAATAAGGTATTTTTTTGGAAAGATGCAAAGGACCGTTCCTGGATTACAGCAGGAGGTTCACCTGGCCGTGCGAAATGGCTACGTTAGTCCTTGAAGCTAATTCTTGCATAGGAAGTAGTGGGGAAGCAACAAGGTGCCCTTTGGAATGATCAACTAAACTGGGATAAAAGTATTCCAGTGATAAGCCCCCACTGTGTCCTCCTCCAGAAGAAGAAGTGATGGATGGGGGGGGCAGTCAGAAATCACCTGAATAATGTGCTTTATACACTATTTAACAATGAGAATGAGATGCTAAATGCAGTTCTTCAAGTACAAAATCATGTAAGGACCACATCACACAGCTTTCACCGTGGTACACGAGCCAGACAGCATTCAGGAGCCCCACTCTCCTGCAAAGAAACTTCCAGTTTAACCATAAATAAATGACTGACTTTATGGATCACCAGAGAACTGCTAGAACAAGGTCGCCTCCAACGCATCAAGAAACTGGTACTAGGTAAACCAAATAACGGAGTTACTGTTTGGTTCTTGACTATTCATGTTTTAGAAAAATAGGAAACATGCTGGTTGAAGTGTCAGTCTTTCTCCAGCAGATCAGGACACAGAACCAGCTTTGCATAGGCTGTCATGAGCTAAGGCTAGACGGGCCCGTGTGAGAGTGACGGACAGTGACACACTGGGCCCGTGTGAGAGTGACGGACAGTGACACACNGTGTGAGAGTGACGGACAGTGACACACTGGGCCCGTGTGAGAGTGACGGACAGTGACACACCGGGCCCGTGTGAGAGTGACGGACAGTGACACACCGTGCCTGTATCAGAATGCCAGACAGTCACACACACTGGGCTTTGTGTGCATCTGAGACTGAGGGAATATTGCTTGTGGATGCACAAGGGCTTGGTCCACACCTTCACAGTTACAAATTTTACATTTTACAAAAACATATGAAAGAAAAAAATCAAAGGACGTGCACACCAATGTTCCTTTATGATTCTTGAAAACAGGACAATATTCAGGGACCTACTAGCTCACATTATGAAGTGCTATTTATGTCCGAGCAGAACAAACACCCAAGACTGTACTGTATGGTTTGTGTGTCAGGGTGTTAAAGCTGCACGAATGTCACTTGAATACTTTCACTATTTTCTCAAAATCCTACTTAAAGCTAAAATATAATATTTTAGCTGAACGTTTTGGTCACTGTGTCCACAACACTGCTATCCAATTGATTACACATCAACTTCATCTGTAAATGACTGGTAAAGAATTAATTCCTAGTTCCGGTGATACATAAAATCAAGTGAAACTATAAAACAAGCAGTAAACCGGTGAAAACTATAAAACAAGCAGTACACTTATTTAACCAATGAAGTTTGCTGACCGCTTACGAAAGACTTTGACCCAAATTATACTGTAACAAAACCAAAGTAATGGCCTTGAGTTCAATTTTCTCAATGAACACGGCGTCATCTGTATGAAGAACGTACTTAGAAAACTTAATACACACCTGCAAAATCTCTGTATGAAGAACATACTTAGAAAACTTATTACACACCAGCAAAATCTCTGTATGAAGAACATACTTAGAAAACTTATTACACACCAGCAAAATCTACCTCTATTTCAAGGAAAACTTACTAACCTGAAACAAGTAACACCTGAAAATAAAATATGACCTATTGCATTCATCACCAATTTTCTTAATTAGCAGTATAATTTAAACGTGATGTTAGGAGTCAGGCCATACTGCACCTAATATACAGGCCCTGAAGATCCTGTAAGTCACTGTAGCTTTTTATATCTGCAGTTACTGCTCTCACATTTTGAATTTTAAAAAGTACATGATTTCTGATGACTTTGTCTTGTGGTTACAGTTTATATTAAAGCAAAGATTGAATTGTATCTTTGAGAAACATCACATGTAGCCGTCATGTTATGTAAAATGAATACACATTTGATTATGAAAGTCTCCTGTTCCCTGCAAGTTTTAGACAGAAGCTTCATTTTAAAATTAATATTGTGGGTGAACAGTTATTCTGTTACAGCATGCCCACCTTTCTGTCAGACTACCTATCATTACGTTTCTGGAGGCCCCTGCCTTGCATAAATGTCTAAGTAATCAAATAGAGCAAAAAACACAAAAGTATATACAGACTTTAAAGCAACGGCCCTAAAGCTTTCACTTAAAATCTTAACTCGATATTTTTAGTTGGTTTTCTTCCACTTGTATTATACAGTGGTTCCAAAGATATTCTCCTCCAGGTCCTGGTCATCCATGTCATCCTCTGTGAGAGAGAAGTCCCTGTGGTTGATAACACGCTCAGGGCTGCAGTTTGAGTCGCCGTCGGTGAGGGATAAGCTGGGCTCACCCCCCCGGAAGACGGGTCCCAGGCGCTCTGCCTCGGCCATCTGCGACAGCACGCTGTCCAGCAGCGGCCGGCTCTTGCAGATGTTGTCCAGGAGCTGACAGCGGTGCCGGAGCTGGCCGATCAAGGAGTCCTTCTCCTTCACCATATTCTGAAACTTCTGGATGATTTCCTCTGATTTGCACAGCTTTTCATGCAGGTATGCAATTTCCCTTTAAGAAAAAAATCGCAACAAAATACACTTTCATACTGGCTAATTCCCTACAGTGACATATGTAAGCTACCAAGGCCTGACCCAGAAAACTACACATACTATAAAACACGCTATAAAAATACTACAAACAAAACGTCCGATTTTCAATACCCCCCCTCCTCGAAAACCTTCAGAAAAGCGAAAATCTTGTTAAATTTCAGTGATAATCACAGAGCGCAGCAATATATCGTCGAAGTTTTCCCCAGTACTTTGCACACATTGCACTGTAACACGCCGCACTGCCCCTGCCTTCAGGTCATGTCGGAGGAATCGCAAATACGAGATGAAACCCCATGAACGGCACTACAAAGCCGTATACTCCCAGCGGGAGACCGGGGATCGTCCATAAGCCCCGAGATCCCGAGGTGGGGGCGTCAGCGCGGTGGCAGGGGATAGACCCACTGTGACAGGCACATTATTGTTAAAGTAGTACTTTTATTTAGGCTATCATTGCAAAACTGAATTGTTTAGAATGCTGAGGAGATTGTTATTAAATGGCATATCGTGGAATTTTTTTTTTGTCTCAATATTTGATATGTAGATGGTCAGCTACCTGCTGTTTGAGCAAGGGACTGCGGAAAGTTCAATTAACGCTACAAATATTTTGGCGTTGAGAGGAACGAAAAATACAGCAGAACAAAAAGTAGTTTTATCGCCTCCATTTTGCTCCGCCTTCAGCACTTGGACACGCGTCACACCGTAATCACGATTTTCCCGGTTCCTAAGTCGGATCTCCCGAGCAGCTCACATCAGCAACACATCTAATCATCTGCCTGTTAAGTTTTCTAAAGCAATAAATACGCCAGTCATTAATGAATAAGGAGAAGGTGGAGGGAAAGAAAAAAAACAGAATAAAAGGGGTGATTTTGTTCCTTGTTATCTAAACCTGTTACATATGTGATACCCTTCGCCGGAGCAGAAGTGCAAACGATCTGGCAGGAAAAGTGAGAAGTGCGACTGGGGGCGAAGCAGCGGCGAGGAGGCCGGCCGTACCGGTCCTTGGCCTCGGCGACCTCCTGCGTGGCGGCCCGGAGCTGCTCGTCTTTGCGGATGAGGCTTTCCGCCTGCTCCCGCACCGTCTTCTCCGCAGAGCCCAGGCGCTGCTCCAGCTCGGCCACCCGCCTGTGAACGGCGGCCAGGTGCGCGTTCGCCTCCTTGATCTGCACCGGCGATGGCAGCGACATGTCACCGGAGCAGCGGGGCGGGCGGCCGCCGCCTCCCCGTTTCAGCCTTCGGCTAGGTCTGTTTTCGGCCCGATTGCAAGTTTTGCTTTTGTGTCCGGCTACATTTCGGGCACGCAGTCCGATAGGAGCGTGTAGTGTTCAGTCGGCGGAGAGAGGCACCCGCTCATCGCCCAGCAGCACCAAGCTAACTGGCTAGCAGCAGTTACTGCACTTCATTTTAACAGCATCTCCCTTCACCATTGCCTTGGATTCCCTACTTCATTTCGGAAACCAGCCCAAGCACATAAAACTGATGTGGGCAGTGGCGCATTGCCAGTAACGACTGGATGAGCCAAAGCTAGAACAATATTAAACATCACATTATAAACACGGGCACGGCCGTTTCCCCGAATGGCTTTCACAGTTATCGCAGTTAGTCCGTGGCACGAAACTCGAAAAAGAAAATAAGCAGAACGACCCCCTGATCGGCGCCTACAGGTCTTCAAGTCGCCACATCAACACTCCGAGATCTGCGCGGGGCTGCCGCGCCGCACCGCTACATGCACTTCCTGGGCACAGAGAGTAAAAGGCAAACTTCTCGGCTCTGCCGAAACCTGTGGATCGGAGGCTCCGGAACCGGCCGTAAGCGCCACCGCTCTTAGATATAATAATGTAGGTGCCTCCTTGTGCGCTTGTGCGAACTCGGCAACCTCGGCGAAGTTGCTGAGACACTGCGCATGCGCAGACCCTGTCAGGAAGCGATATTATCTGGGGCGAACTGGTTAACAGGAAAGTGGAAGATGGATGGATGAACAAATAATAATAAAAAAATGACTAACATCAACAACAGTCACCATCATTATATACCAGGCATATTGCTACTATCATATTATTTGTTGGATAAATATTTAACAATTAAAAGATCAATAAATTAATGTATAATTCTATAACTATATAGATGAACATATATATTTTTAAAAGGATAGATGTTATAGAAACTACATATAAGAAAGCTGATTGATTTAAGTATTCACTATACCTGTGTATTTATTTTCATATTTATTTAATCGCTTTAATTAATCATCTATTGTCATCCTAATAAGCTTTTTTTTTGCCTGTCGGGTATGCCGATAATAAAGTAATTTTCTTTTTTAAATCCATAGTAAGTAACACATTCGTAAAATTGTAGTTTTACTAACAAAAACTGTAAATGAAAATATAAATGGGAGAGATGCCTTACTTAAGTTAAAAAAAAGAATTATTTGACTGAAAGTCCCTTAATTTACTGGTATAGGTATTAGTATAAGAATATCTGATTGTAACATCTTGGACATTATAGGCAACATGAAGGCTACACATTGATCACATGTGGCTGATTTAAAAAAATGACTGTATTTGTCCTTAGGGGTATATTAGAGTTCATACTCATCAAATGCATAACATGGGATTTAATCATAGTAAGTTCACTGGATTAAGTGCATAAGGTTCTGTCCATATACACATTTAATATGACACATCGTCGCTGCAGATGCTCGGAGATACGGCCACTTAAGTCACTTTTGTTGGTCATAACTATATAGCATTATGACATAATCATTTCCCTTGGAATTATTGATGGTATCGACAGAATCGTTGGATTTTTGGCCATAACAGAGGATGACAAAACCCCAGTCTAATTAATATATTATTCTCCTGCATCTAAGATAAATCACATAGACATAGACATAAAACCGACACCTGTGCTGTCAAACCATTTTGTATATAAAATAAATAGTGAATTGTAAAATACACAATGCCCAACCATCGATAAAAAAACATTTAAAAGTACAAACATGCATTATAATTTCATAAGTATTATTTTGGCTTAGTTTCATTCAATATGCCACCAAAATAAGCTCATAGTTTTCAAACGTATAATTCACGCGTGCAAACAGTATATTGGGTTTGTTACACTGTGCCTTTATTCAGTTGAGATAATTAAGTTCTCAGAACATATAGGTCTAAAATATAATACATAAAACAAACCCTTTTATGCCGCTAAAGGCCGGGAAATGATCACAATATACATTTTATTTTTAGATCTTTTTATGCTTACCTAGACATATCGATCAATGGCTCACAGATAAAATATTGGCAAAGTCCACTCAATACAAAAGGAGGTTATTTAAGAAAAGGATTTAATATCCAGTAAATGACTGAGACAAGATAAAACTTAACCCCTTGGTCGTATGATTTATGTCCACAGTCCTTAAAATATAACAAAACCCTTTTAGATTCTTCCTTCTGCAAACTACCTTGTCAGCTAAACCAGATCACTGCATCACAAAAAGATTAGCATCAAAACCGATCTATATTCGATAAATCACAAGTAGCCTGTTCTTGGGGCTACAATTCAGGGGGGGTGGGGCGCCTGTCCCAGGCTGTATAGGGCACAAGACGGGGGTCGCCGTCCCATACGTACGCCGGCCCCCTCCCCCTCCCATACGTACGCCGGCCCTCTCCCCCTCCCATACGCACGCCGGCCCCCTCCCCCTCCCATACGCACGGCGGTCCTGGCACCCTCCCCATATGTACATGACTTGCCCTGAGTGGGAGGGCAAACTTATACATACTGTCAAACATACCAGCCAAATTCCTTTTGAGGCGTTTGAATATGAAGGGCAATGCAGGCTTATTATTAACTGACGCGACTATTTAAGATGTCATACATGGAGCTGCTGACCTGAATGCTATTTTTGGAAAATCCTGTTTCGATAGTCTTAGAGGCACTCATTATTTTGTTTACGTAGACAGTTAGGCAGACAACCCTTATTCTGTGATATCTGTCTGTTATAATGATATACAGTTATGCTTAATTTTTTGTTATTTTCATTATTGTAATTCTTTTTATTCATTTTTTTGGGGAATTGGTCAATGAAAACATAAAATTGCTAAGGAATCTTGATTCATCCATCCAGCACATTGTCCAGACCCAGACAGGCGTGGACCCCTGACAGAACCTCGCTTGAGTACAGGGCTCATATATCTTTACATTTAATATTATAATGTTCTTAATGATATACCAATCAGCTGTAACATTAAAACTATTTGCATAATCTTCTGTAGGTCCCACTCATGCCACCAAAACAGCTCTGACCCGTCGAGGCCTGGACTCCACAAGACCTCTGAAGGTGTCCTGTGGTGTCTGGTACCAAGGCATTAGCAGCAGATCCGTTAAGTCCTGTAAGTTGCGATCGGACTTGTTTGTCCAGCACATCCCACAGATGCCTCATCAGTCTGAGATCTGGGGAATTTTGGGACCAAGTCAACACCTCAAACTCTTTTTCATGCTCCTCAAACCATTTCTGGATAATTTTTGCAGTGTGGCAGGAAGAATTATCCTGCTGAAGAAGCCACTGCTATCGGGGAATCCCATTGCCATGAAGGGGTGTACTTGGTCTGCAGTAACGTTTAGGTAGGTGGCATGTAGCAGAGTTACACCCACATGAATGCCAGGACCCAAGGTCTCCCAGCAGAACATTGCCCAGAGCATCACACTGCCTCCGCCGGCTTGCCTTCTTCCCATAGTGCATCCTGGTGCCATCTCTTCCCTTGGTAAATGACACTCACACACCCAACCGTCCACATGATGTAACAGGAAACGTGACTCCTCAGACCAGGACACCTTCTTCCATTGCTGTGCTCCAGTTCTGATGCTTACGTGCCCATTGTAGGTACTTTTGCCGGTGGACGGGGCAGCCTGGGCACTCTGACTGGTCTGACTGGTCTGAGGCTACACAGCCCCATACGCAGCAAGCTGCACTGCGTGCTCTATCATGGCCAGCATTAACCTTTCCAACAGTATCTGCTGCAGTAGATCTCCTGTGGGATCAGACCAGGCAGGCTGGCCTTTGCTCCCCACACACACCAGTGAGCCTTGGGCGCCCATGACCCCATCGCCGGTTCACTGGTTGACCTTCCTTGGACCACTTTTGGTCGGTACTGACCACTGCATACCAGGAACACCCCACAAGACCTGCCGCTTTGGAGATGCTCTGACCCAGTCATCTGACCATCACACTTTGGCCCATGTCAGTCTCTCAGATCCTTACACCTGCCCATTTTTTCTGCTTCCAACACATCAACTTCAAGAACTGACTGTTCACTTCTTTAATGTATAATGGCCCCCTTGACAGGTGCCATTGTAATTGTAATCTACCTATCTATTCACTTTACCTGTCCGTGGTTTTAATGTTATGGCTGATCGCTGTGTATCTATATCATGATGACAGTGTTACCTTTATTTTTTTAATATTTGAACATCGGCAATGCAACATTTGCAGCATTTAAATGTCTACATTTGTATCAGCACAGACCCCTGACAATTTGCACATCATAATTGCAGATTGCATGGAATGTAGGTTATGCCTTATATTTATGGCTGTATGATGTCATATTAATGCTATTTATGGAATATATTCTTGAAGCATTCTGATGGTTTGCATGTGGTGGCCTATACAGTGATCGTCTACATATAGTTTGGGTGTAATATTATTACCCTGAGAAATTACATAATCCATTTTAACCAATAACACTTATGCAACTGAAAAAATTGGCAGATAAGACCATTTGCATACATGTACAAAGCAATAGCAATTTGTACAAAACAATTAGAAATGATTTCTTCGCTGTGTACATCTTACATTATGGTGTAAGGATTACACTCATTGTTATGCAAATGTTAATTGTCATTTGAGACACGATCGAGAAAAACTGTTAATCTGTATCAATATAAATTGAACATGGACAGAATAATTGTAAGAACCCTTATGTTTCATGCTTATGTTGCCGTGCAGCAGTCACGAGACCGCCAGAAGAGGGCGCTGTCTCACAGGCCTTTGCAGTGTATTTTAGCTTTCTAAAAAAGTGTTTTCCGATAATACTTGCCCCCATAGAAAAAAAAACTCTTTCCCAGCTTTGAATATTTTTATGTGGTTTTGAGGATTTTAAACAGTTTAAAGTTTACTTGAATGTACTAAAAAGACGTGATTTATGAAAGTTACTCGATACTTTATGCATGCAACAAATGCCTCAAATGTTTCTTTAAACTATCACTTTGTTGATCGTAGCATAAACAGACAAAGTTCTATGAAAAGAAGGCTTTAGTCTGAGGAAGACCAAGCATGCAAAGCTCGCAAAAAGTAAAACTTGAAACAGCACATTGCTTAAATAATCAGCTCACACGTTCTAAGTCATTTACTACTAACAGCATAAGTAACTTTCCCATATAACAAGCTGACACCATATGTAAAACTAACAAGACAGTTACCATTTCATAAATCAAGAAAGGTATTAAATATGTTTAACTCAGTGGCTTTGTGTTTGCGGGTTTTTACCTGCCACCTCCCTAAAGCTAAGAACAGATCTTCTATCTATTGTGTGCTCTAAGTTAGGATTTACAGCTCTGTTTAGATTTAGTAAAACCTCTTATCTGACATCCTAAGGTGGTGGTTTTTGTATTTGAAACTCATAACACATTATTGCTACTATGCACAAACATACCAGAATATGCTGTGGTTCGGTGCCAAACATGAAGTGCAAGACTATATTACGAGACACTGAGCAGAAACACTTCACTGTGCAGTATACACAATACAAAAAAAAACAATAGACATTACAAATTAACAGGAAACAGTGCAA